AGAATGACATGCAATTTAAAACTTATGAATTGTTTATTTCTGGAATTTTTCACTTAATATTTTTGGACTAATTTGTGAAAAGCAAAACCACGGATAAGGGGGGACCACTATGCATTATTGTTTGTATATACAGTGTAGTCACTTGTCTCTCAACATGTTCTTCTCATATGTGATTTACACACACACACACACACACATTTGTATGTAATTATATAAGTAAGATTATACTACATGTAATTCTGTAGTATTTTTCTCTTAACGTTGGGCCATTAAGATATTTTCATTCCATATAATATAGGTATACATTATTTTTTTATGTCTGTATACTGTTTCTCCCTGTAGATAATACTGAGTTGATTCTGATCAGTCAATTGTCAGCAGTGGCTCTCAAATGGGCTTTGGCTCTAGAGAGTACTCTGGGCCAGAGACCCTGTGTAACCTTCTGTTGGGGACCCCAAGAGGTGGTTGGGAGTTAAATGGCTATTCTTAGCAGACTTGGTTTTCTCTGGTGACTCTTGGAATCAGTGCCAGTGGGAAGAGACTCCAGGAATAGGACTCAAGCAGTAAGTTCCTTTATGAAGTGTGGGGCCAGGATTGGCCAAGGCTTTAAAGTGAAAGGGACTTAGGAGTGTTGGGATGTAATTGACAGAGAACTATTAAGGGCATCTGGTTCAGGTCAGTGGAACAAAGCAGGAAAGAGAGGAGAACCTTACCAGTTGTGGAAAGGAATGAAAGTTTCTGTTAGGCCAGCAGTGGAGATGACTTCTTGCAGAGGTGAGGACTAATCTACGCACTCTCACGGGTTGGGCATTCATTAGTAGACACTGCCTGACATGTTATTTGCTATATGGAACTTAAAAATAAACATGATATTTGTTCTTTGATCTCACTACGTAGACAAAGTGAAATGCAATTCAGGTGGTTAGGAAGTAACTATTCAGTTTTCTCACTTCCTTTTTTTCTTTTTAAAGACCAAGAAAAGTATTCTGTCTGTACTTTGTGTTCTATTTCCTTAAAGAGTACTCAGGCATTTTAGCTATCAGCCAGTCATTTTTTAAAAAGACTTTTATTATGTTTTTGTTTAAAGAGTGTGTGGTTTGTGCCTCTTCCTCCCCCACCCCATCACTGACTGAAAAAAGTGCCAAGGCATTATTACTGCAGACTGACCCAGATTATTGATAGAGCTTTCAAGTTATAGGAAAGCCCCTGAATGCCAAAATACATGAGTTGGAAAACCTGGGTTCAGTTTTACACTGCTAAGTGATTTAATCTTTGGAGCAAGGCTTTATCCAAAATGTCTGTTTGTAGAGTGATATAGAAAAAGATTACATTTTAGGGGGTTTCTTAATAATTTATTATATAGCACATCAAAAATTTATTATCTAGCACATCTCTACATTTTTACTCTGCTTTGTTAAAGGCTATACCTAAATTATTGTTTCTCTCTATATCTGTCTCTCTCACACACACACTCATGTTCTTTGTGATGGACTTATATATTACATTAAAACTCTGAAATATGCCTTAAAATAACATGGTATTTATTAACTTAATAAACTTATTGAATGAAGGCATTTTTACGGATATTGGATATATGAAGATGAATAACACATGGTCCCCACCCTTAAAGAAATAAATTATTGTTTAGAAGGGTAGAAGTATATGCCAGAGTATCTGGAAGATAATAGACAAAAAGAAGGTAAAATAGTTTTACTATGGGATGTGGGGATGCCTAGAAAAGCTTATTAGAGCTGAAGATTTTTGAGAGGGAGTTGTTCACTGTATAGGGGGAGAGGGGGCAGGGCTTGGGGGCATTCAGTCCAGTCCAGAGCATTATTACCAGGGCCATAGAGGCTGGAGAAATCATGATATTGCAAATAGCTTCATATGGCTAATGTGAAGGGTATTGTATAGAAGAGTGGGAGGACATGGTGCTAGTGAGTCAGGAGAGGTTGAATGTTATGCAGAAGGTTTTTAAATGGTTAATTAATATTAATAAAATCAGGGAAATATTATCTGGCAAGGAGGGGGAGGCAAGATTCCAGGTGGGGGATCAAATTGCATCTGCTAAAGAAATATAGATGGAAGTGCCATGGGCCCTAGACTCTCAAACTAAGTGATTAAAAATCAAAATGAGAATGAGGAGAATAAAGGTGGAGAATCAATAAGATACATGTATGGTAATGGAGAGGGAAGAATCAGTATGACTCCCAGATAATCTGTTTTGGGGGATTTTAAAAGATGCTGGTGGCCATTTGAGAAGAAGCTGTCTTAAGAAGGAATAATAATAAGTTTGATGTTTGAGACATCCAGTAAGATGTCTTTGGTAAGTAATTGGATCTGGAGCTCAGAATAAGAGTTTGTCTTCAAGGATTAAGAGTAATCATGATTGAATTTTTTGACACTATGGGGATAGATGTGATAATTTAGGAATTTAAGAAGAGAAGTATTAAAGATAAAACATGAACATTTTGGAGATGGGTCAGAAGGTTGAGAAGGAATGGTCTGAAAAAAATTCACTGAATTTGTTGGATACATGATTATTGTAAATGGGAGTTTTAGTAGTGTGCTAGGAGTAAAAGATTGCAGACTAATTCTGTATATTATGTTTACTGAATTACAGGTTTAAGTATTTCATTAAAATTAAGAAATATTTAAAAGATACAGCTAAATTTAGAGAATTAATTAACCAACTCTTGTATACCCTCTGTAAAGTTTTTTAAAAACTTTATTTCAAAATAATTGTAGACTCATAGGAAGTTACAAAAAATTGTACAGAGACATCCTCTCTATAACCTTTACTCAGCTTCCTCCATTCACTTGTTCTTTTTTTAATTTGTTTTGTTAATCCTTACCCAAGGATATTTTTTCCATTGATTTTTAGAGAGAACGAAGGGTGAGGGAGAGACAGAGAAACATCGATTAGTTGCCTCCATGCCCCGGCTGGGTACATGCCCTTGACCAGAATTGAACCCGAGACCCTTCATTTGGAGGGCCGACACTCTAACCACTGAGTGAGATTGGCTAGGACCACCTGCTCATTTTAACAAATGTCCTGAAAAATGCTAATGTTTGGGATGGATTGTGGAACTATACAGGTAGTGTCGATTTGTATTCTGTTTCTCCGCATGGTGCAAATCTGGAGTTTTGATTTTCATAGGAGCCTCTCTGCCCACACTGGGAGCAGGGAAGATGGCAAGCTGTCTTGCTGTTTCTCAGGGCATATGGGTGGAGCTTCTCCAGCTTCCTTTTCACGTATTGAACAGACCTTTTGAGGATCTTGGCTCAAAATAGGGGTTTTACTTCCAGCTTTCCCTGAAAATAGGCTCAAAATTAGGTCTTCTACTAGTATCTCTGTAGGCCAGTGTCCCCTGAGACTACATTGGTGTCAGCTGGGACTTTAGGTCTTTGAGTTTCTTCTTTTCTGGCACCTAGAAATCTTCCCCTCCCCCTCTTTTTTTATCCTCACTGGAGAACATGTTTATTGATTTTACAGAGGAAAGGAGGGAGGGAGAAAGAGAGAGACAGAGAAACAGAAACGTGGATTGGTTGCTTCCTGTATGTGCCTCAACCAGGGATGAACGTGCAACCTTTTGGTGTATGGGACAACACTCCAACCAAGCCACCTGGCCAGGGCTCCCCCTTTTTAAATTCAGCTATACTAATTTTTCATGTTGATTTAGCATTTTAGTGAGTGTATTTGGGCACATGTATATGAGTCCAGTCTGCCTTACTGCTTGAATCAAAAGTCTAATAAATGCTTTCTTAATTTCTTATTTCTTAATTTTATTCTCTGCTTTGTCCACAAAAAGGATTTGAGGTCAGATTACATTACTCTCATTAAAAATATTATTTAGCTCTTGCTGGGTGGTTCAGTTGGTTGGAGCATCGTCCTGTATACCAAAGGTTGCAGGTTTGATCCCCAGGCGGGGTATATACAGGAGGCAACTGATAGATGTTTCTCTCTCTCTCTCTCTCTCTCTCGCTCATCTCCTTTCTCTCTCTATAATAATAAAAAAATATCCTTGGGTGAGGATTAAAATATATGTATATATTATTTATTTTTAAATGGATGATACATGAATGTTGTATGAAATTGGAAAGATAAAAAAGGGTATAAAAGTCTCCCTTTGCCCTGTTCCCTACTTCACCCAGTTTGCCTTCACAGGTACAACGAGATACTAGTCTCTTACATATCCTAGAAATAGACTGTGCACTAGTTTTTGTTGTTGTTGTTTTTAAATATATTTTTAATTATTTATGGAGGGAGAGGAAGGGAGAGGGAGATAGAAACATCGATGAGAAACATTGATCGGCTGCCTCCTGCACGCCCCCTACTAGGGATGGAGCCCGCAACCTGGGTATGTGTCCTGACCAGAATTGAACCAGCAATCTCTTTGTGCATGGGTCAGTGCTCAACCACTGAGCAACACTGGAGGGCACTTTAAAGGAGTGTGTATAATTTAATTTTGTAACCAGTGTTCAGGATTTTTTTTATCTGCTTGACAAGTAGCAATTGTAATTTTTTCTTTCCTGAGAGTTTTTGAGAGAGAATAGTAACATTAATTATATGTTACATGTATGTTTTTATGTATATGAATGGATTATCTGTGTTTTAATTTTTGTTCACTTCAAAAATCCCTCAGAATGTGACAGAATCTGACAAAATAGTGTACACTGTTGGTTTGAATGTTTTAAGTTATGTGGAATATTAAAATAATGGAACATTAGCCTTACTTTTTGGGAAGTAGTGAAAATGATATTTTAAGATACTGGAATCTTATTGAAACACATTGAAGATATCTTTCAAAATTGTTCTAATTACTAACCAGTAAATGCTATTGTTGCATATATGTGCAAATAATTGCTCAAAGAAGTGAGGGGTTCTGTCAAAGTTGAAGTCCTCCTTTTTAGGTTCCTTAGCCACTGTATATACTATTGATTGCCTGACTTCAGCTTGTGTCATGGAAGCCTATGATCTAATATGTTTTCTTCCTTAGATCAACCTCTCCACTTCTCCTACACCTGCACAGTTAATAAGCCGTTCCCAGGCTTCCAGTTCCACCAGCGGCAGTATTACCCAACAGACTATGTTACTAGGGAGTACCTCCCCTACCCTAACTGCAAGCCAAGCTCAAATGTATCTCCGAGCTCAAATGGTAAGATGTGAGCTACCAAATTTTTTTAGTGTTTAAGGACTTGAGAGAGATCAAAATATTTCTTGATTTGATGTAATAAGAGACATTTTAAATATTTAAGATATGTTTAACAAATTTTTATGTGCGTGTGCTCAGCTCTTGTACATTTATGTCATGAAAAATTCTTTTAATTGGTAGGCCTTCTTGGTGTTTCAAATAGTAACATGCGAAGCTGACAAATCTGTAACAGAGGAATGATTATCTTTTAATATCAGATTTCATACCTTTTTTCACATTTTAACATCTGACACTGAGATGATTTTATAATTGATGGCATCGTACAGTTATAATTGTACCTATAGTGATACATAAAACCATTGTATATCATTGACATCTCAGATTTGAAGAAGATTTGATGAAATTGTTAGAAATGTTAAAAACTTGGTTGTTAACTATAAGTTAGAATGTATATTGTGGCATCTTCTGAAATCAGGATTGAAGTTTCTGGTAATTTACCAGATGGTTCTGAGCTTTGGTTATTCCCATCTCAAATTTTGTAAGGTGATTTGTGTTGTTAAGCTCACTCTGATCTTTTATTAATATAGGAAGGTTAATTTGGCTATTCTGATTTCCTGATTTAACTGCTGAGCTTCTTTAAGAAATGCAGAAATTGGCTGACATTTATTTTATTTGATGTCTTTACATGTAGTTAGACAAAAACTTTGGCGCTGGCATATATTTATTTACTTTTCTTTTTTTGTCCAGTGAACTGAATATATATCTGGATCCCCAGATCTGCACTAAAATTGCAAAGAAAGTTCCCCATCATATTTCTAATAGGAAACAGTGATATGACCCATCTACAGATTGTTCACTAGACATTGCCATTTTTCCGCCATGAGCTCTTATTTAATTAATAATATGTTTCAGAATTAAGCGGAATGAACCATTTGAAATGGTTGTAATTTGACTATTTTTGACCCCTTGGCAGTTTCATATGGTTCAAATTAATTAGAACATCTCTTTAGGTTTAGTGCTTTCAGTTGTTTGTACTAGAAATTAACTTCTTGTGAATGTTATATTTTTTTTGTTTAATTCACTTAAATTTACCAGTAATATACCATAAAGAACTGAAATATAAAAGATTCCTTAATTGATCATTTTAATTTAAACAGGAATGGTTTTTGAGGAATTGAATAACTCGATGCAATTTTGAAATAGAGTATTTACACATTCTTGGAAATAACTGTCATAATTTACTAAATTGGATTGAATAATCACTGAATAGATTGTATTACCTTTTTAAATTAATGGCATTCTGTTTCAGTATTGAATAAAACAGTTGAAAAGAGATGGTGATTATTAGTAAATAAATCAAGTATGTCTTTCCTTCCTTTATTATTATTTTTTATGTAAAGCTATTTTTGCAAGCTGTTATTGAATTTTGACATGTTCTGGTATTTACATTTAGAATGAATTTTTCTTTACAGATGGTTTTTAAATCAAGAGCAATCTAGATTTGTACTATAGATCCTATGTAGCTGAGTGAAATATTGTAGTGTAGTATATGGCATAGTTAGCTTTTATGGTAAAGAACTGAAAAGACTTTTGGGAGTTTCTTTATGTGTTTCTTTAATTTGCATTCAAGAGCAGTGACTATGGTTTATGGTTGTCTATTGTAACCTAAGTTTTAGGAATCCTACCACGGTAGTTTTGAGTTGGGAGAAATCTATAATAATAAAAGCATAATATGCTAATTAGGCCAGACAGCTGAACAACCTTTCGGACGTCCTTCTGGATGACCTTCCCGAACCACCAGTGGGCGGGGGGGTGGAGCCAGCAAGCCTGCGCCGCCAGGCCAGCCATGGCAGTCCCGGTGCCAAGCCTTCTGCAGAGGCAGGGGTGGAGGGGACAAGGGACGCACAGTCCCAGAGCCTCTGCAGAGGTGGGAAAGGGCGCAACTGCAGCGCCTCAACCTCCCACGGCCCCTCCCCTGGCCAGCCTGGCCCCAGATCGCGCCCACCCCCCCACCAGTGGGAGGGGGGGCGGGGTCAGTGCTAAGGAGCAGTGAGCCTGGCTTCTGGTTGAAACACCCCCCCCTTCCCCCTCCCACCCCCGTGCTCAGTCAGAAGCCAGGCTCACAGGCTCAGGGCTGGTGTGAGCCTCTCCTGCCTCCATGGCAGGCGGGTGGTAAGGAGTGAGAATTCCTGGACTGCCAGAGCCCCGGACTGTGAAAGGGATGTCTGAGTGCCAGCTTAGGCCTGATCCCCGGGGGGGTCCTGGATTGAGAGAGGGCACAGGCCAGGCTGAGGGACAACCCCCCACCCCCCCAGCCTAGTTTAAGTATAATAGTTTATTTGGGGCAAAATTTGGTATGAGGATTTCATATTACCAAAATACATACTCCTTTTTGAACACTGATTTATTTTTCTATTCACCAGAATCATGAACTGTTTCAAAAATGTTTATGATTTTTTTTTAGTTCTCTATATCAGAAATTTCTCTGTCATGTAAAACCTTTTTTTGCTTAAGAGGGAATCCTAAATTGCATTGTCTTTTGTCATGAATTTCAGTCTCCCTTGCCTGCTATACATTGTGTGTGAGACATGTTCTTTTGTCTTAGAGTATTTTTTTTTTTTTTTGGTTTTTCTGTCTGTACAGCTGATTTTCACACCCGCTACCACTGTGGCTGCTGTACAGTCTGACATTCCTGTTGTCTCGTCGTCATCGTCATCTTCCTGTCAGTCTGCAGCTACTCAGGTGAGCTTGTCTAGCTTCATAACGTGGTGCTTGAGGTCTGGATCTTTAGGTTAAAGATAAACATACATTGGAGTTTAAGTAACTGATTGTTTTAGTGCTCTTTGTCATACATTTCAGATTGAAATTTAATAAAACACTATAAGAATTTCAAGAAAATTGTTTTTTCTTCTATGGAAATTATAATGCCATTAAACATGGATGTTTAGGTTATTTGACATAAATGAAAATGAGTTTTCGATATGACATTGTGTTTAGTTCTATTGTATAGCAGATTTATTTTTTGTTATGTGAGATGCATTCTTTTGTGTAGATTTCTTTGCAAGCAGCTATGTAATAACTAAGTCAAGATGGATTTTAATATTAAAAATGAATTAAATTGGGTAAGTTTTAAATTAAAAAAATAGAATATTACTTTGTTTAGTACTATGGAAAAAGTGAGCCTTAATTTTCTCCTCATGTAAGTTACAAAAATAAATAGAAGTAGAATATAGACCTAAAGGTAACAGCTGAAAGTACAAAACCTGTAGAAGAAGAAACAGGAAATACCTTCACAACTCTAGGGTGGAGAAAGCTTTCTTAAGTCACAAAAAGCACTAACCATAAAAGAAAATAAGAGTTTATCAAAATTAAAAATTGTTCTCAAAAGACATTGTTACAAAAATGAAGAAGCAAGTCACAGAAAATGTTCACAATACATATATCTGACAAAGGACTTGTATTCAGAAAATGCAAAGTATGCTTACAACTCAGTAATAATATGAGCAATTCAATTAAAATTGGGGGAAAGATTTGAACACTTCACAAAAGAAGATATACAAAAGGTCGATAAGCACATGAAAAAATGCTCAGCATCATTAATCATTATAGAAATGCAAATCAAAACCACAATGAGTATCACCACACATTCACTAGAATGGCTGAAATGAAGGAGACTGATTCTGGAGAATGTGGAGCAGCCATATTCTCAAAACTGCTGGTGAGGATGTAAAGTGGTACAACCACTTTGGAAAACAGTTTGTCAGTTCATTATAAAGTTAAACATATGCTTAACATGTGACCCAGCAATTGTACTTCTAGATGTTTACTGTGAGAGATTTGAAAACATATATCCACATAAAGATATGTAAACAAATGTTCATAGCAGCTCTATTCAGCCCCAAACTGGAAACAACCAATGTTCTTTAACTGGTGAATGTACAAATTGTGGGATATTACTCGGAAATTAAAAAATATTAAAAAAAACTAATGCATCTCAGAAACATTATAATTTGCCTGGCCAGCGTGGTTCAGTGGTTAAGTGTCTACCCGTAAACCAGGAGGTCACAGTTCAATTCTTGGTCAGGGCACATGCCCAGGTTGTGGGCTCAATTCCCAGTGGGAGGTGTGCAGAAGGCAGCTTCCATGATATTCTCTCTCATCATTGATGTCTCTCTCTCTCTCTCTCTTTCTCTCTCTCTCTCTATATATCCCTTCCTTTCCTCCTCTCTCCCTCTCCTTTCCTTTCTCTGAAATCAATAAAAAAAATTGAAAAAGAAATATTATAATTCACAAAAGAGGCCAGACACCAGAGTGTCCATACTCTGATTTATTTATATGAAATTCCAGAACAGGCAAAACTAATCTATAGGGAAAGAAATTGGATTGGTGGTACTAGGGTCAGAAGGTAGGGGAGATTGATGTGGAAGGGGCATGAGTGAACTTTCTGGGTGATGAAAATATTCTATATCTTGATTGGAGTGGTGGTAATATGTTGTATAGATATGTCAAAATTCACTGAATTGGTTCATTTTATTGAATGTAAGTTACACCTCAGTAAATTTGGTAAAAATGAATGAGTAAATTTTAAATGAAAACAATTGAGTAGAATATTACTTTTTCCATAGAAATTAGTATATCTTAAGATCATCCTTGGCTTCTTATTTTTTTTTAAAATATATTTTTATTGATTTCAGAGAGGAAGGGAGGGGCTAGAGAGAGAAACATCAATGATGAGAATCACCGATCAGCTGCCTCCTGCACACACCCCACACTGGGGATGGAGCCCGCAACCTGGGCATGTGCTCTGACTGGCAGTCGAACCGTGACCTCCTAGTTCATAGGTCGATGCTCAACCACTGAGCCATGCCGGCCGGGCAGCTTCTTATTTTTAATTTAATAGTCTCAGTCTTCTGGTAAAAAGCAAAAAATGAGATAGTAATAGTATTCTTTGTTACTTTTCATAGATCTCTTTACATTATATTTTATTTAATAATAAAGGCCAATTTTAATATATTAATATATAAAGATGTTGACCAATTAAATTCATGTTTTCCTAACGGCTCTGTGATCCTCCACAATTCCTGAACTTTGTTGGACTTTAGTTTCCATGTTTACAAAATGAGACCTTTGTTTTTATTAACTTTAAGATTTTTTTCAGCTCTAAACTTTTTTTTACAAATGTCTCTTTGTGAAATGGATTTGTTGAAATAATGATTTTGCTGTTTGTTTTTTAAATATATTTTTATTGATTTCAGAGAGGAAGGAAGAAGGAGAGAGATAGAAATATCAATGATGAGAGAGAATCATTAATCAGCTGCCTCCTACACTCCCCCCTACCGGGGATTGAGCCCACAACCTGGGGCATGTGTCCTGACCAGGAATCAAACTGTGACCTCCTGGTTCATAGGTCAATGTTCAACCACTGAGCAACACCATCTGGGCTGTTTTTGTTTTTGTTTTTTTTTTTTTGTTTTTTTTTTTTTTAAATATATTTTATTGATTTTTTACAGAGAGGAAGGGAGAGAGATAGAGAGTTAGAAACATCGATGAGAGAGGAACATCGATCAGCTGCCTCCTGCACATCTCCCACTGGGGATGTGCCCGCAACCCAGGTACATGCCCTTGACCGGAATCGAACCTGGGACCCTTCAGTCCGCAGCTGACGCTCTATCCACTGAGCCAAACCGGTTTCGGCTGTTTTTGTTTTTTTTTAAAACCTAATAAGCTAGACCATTATCAACTTGCAGAATATTTTCTATTTTATTTTTTATTTATATTTTGTTCCAACTGAAATTTTAATTGATTTACAAGATGTATACAATAAAACAAGATAAAATAAATGTAAAGCCTGCCAGAAAAAGTCACAAATAAAAGAAAGTGGCATGGAGGTAGGAGTGAGGAGGCTATTCAGATTATATTCATGGACTTAATTTCAACTCCCACTTCAGTTACTTAATAGTTGTGTGGCTTTAGACAAGTTACTAAACATCTGTAATAGTCATACATACTTCCAGGGTGGGTTGAAGAATGAATAATATGTATGTGTCTAGAACAGCGGTGGGCAAAACTACGGCCCGCGGGCCGGATCCGGCCCGTTTGAAATGAATAAAACTAAAAAAAAAAAAAAAAAAAAAAAAAAAAAAAAAGACCGTACCCTTTTATGTAATGATGTTTACTTTGAATTTATATTAGTTCACACAAACACTCCATCCATGCTTTTGTTCCGGCCCTCCGGTCCAGTTTAAGAACCCATTGTGGCCCTCGAGTCAAAAAGTTTGCCCACCCCTGATCTAGAACATTATAGGCACTCGTTAGTATCTTTTTTTGCAAGTGGGGGAACAGGAAGACCTGAGTTCAAATTCTGACTTCAGCAACTGTTACCAGCTTTGTCACTTGCTAGTTGATTGATTTTGGACAAGGTCATAGTATAGCATAGTGTATAAGTTTGGATTCTGAAGCCAGGTTCTCTGGGTTCAAATACATGCTCTACCACTTTCTTATTGGATATCCTTAATCTCTTGCTTCAGTTTCAACAATATAAAATAAAACAAATATTTATAAAATAATTATAATGCTTATTTTATAGGTTTGTAGTGAGGACTAAATATGTTAATAAATGAAAAACAACAATGTTTCATACATAGTAAGCATTCACTAAATATTAGCTTTTATTACTACCTTTTCAAGGCCTCAGTTTCTTCACTGTAAACTAGAAATGATAGCTCAAAGTTGTTATAAGGAATACATGAGACAATAATTATAAAGTACTTAGTATTCTGCCTGGCACATTAGATATCACATGCCACTAATTACTATTTTTGTTATATATTGTCTAAAGATGAGTCACAAATTTGGTACTTAGCTTTGAAGTAGCTAATAGTGAAGAAAACAACCATCGAAAAGATTGACAGTTTGCAAGGTAAAATAAATGAGTTAGGAAAATATAACTAACATGCTCTCTAGAGCACAATCTGTCTTGTGTGGTCTCATGGAGAAAACATATTACAGTGTCTTTAATGGTATAATGAACATAGTAATTTACAAAAGTGGCTTAGTTTGATGTGACACAGGTATGAGGCTTTGTGATAATATGACTTAATTGAAAGGTAGACTTTGAGGAGCCTTTAGAAATTTCTCTACAAATGTTTTTCTCTTCTGTGCTTTTGAAATGGCAGTGAGAGAGACTGGAAGTAGTAAGTGATGCTAATACTTTGAGTATTCCAGTGGTAACTTTCTTCAAGTTCAGGGCTCTTAGTTTTGAAAAATTTGTGCTTTACTTTGTTAATTTTAAAGCTCATATTTTCAGTTTTTAAAATAGTGTGTAATTGAGAACTATCAAATTTCAAGTTTTATTTTAGTACTCTTTTTAAGTGATAGAAGCCAGCATAATAGTTCATTTTTCCTTAGTAGTAAAATTTATTTATAGCATACTATGAAAAAAACAAGAAATTCAGAGTATTTTACTCTTATTTACTATTTTAAATGTTCTATCCCTTCTCCCCACCTTTTTTTTCAGAAAGATATCATAGAACTAAAAATATGTTTGTAGAAGAGTAAGAAATCTTACTTGCCATGGCTATCTGGGGAATGCTGTGAGAATTGAGAAGAAAACAGCCCTTTGGATTTAAAATCTAGAAACTCGGCTCTGTTGCCGCCAATGTGATATTAACTCTTAGTTTCCTAATTGGCAAAGAAGGGATGCTGCTGTAATTCAGAAAGTATTTCTTAGATTGAAATAGAACAATCAGTGTGAGAGTATTTGGGTAATCCACTATAAAAATGTAAGGTGTGAAATTAGCAAAAATATTTCACGTGAAATTAGCAAAAATACTTCACGTGAAATTTAGAATTTTTTAAAAGTCAGAAAAGTTTCCATAATTTAATCATAGTTTTCGTTTAGATAAAATAAAAGTTGGACTTAAGAGTACACTGATATTCTTTATTTAGAAAGGGTGTGTTTTCTTCAAAAGTGAGGCTCTCAAGGAAATCTGACTATGTGATCTTCCTATTAATAGCTAAATTAACTTTGCAATATACTTTAGAAGTATAGTTTAAAAGTTTGAAATGTAATATTTAAGCCAAAATGACCACAGATAGGTATTATAGCCATAGTGTAAAATTTATCTATTCATATAAGTAATATATAGTGTAATATATAATATACTAGAGGCCTGTTGCACGAAGTGATTCGTGCAGTAGGCCTTCCCTTCCCCTGGCTGCCAGCACCGGTTTTCCTCCGGCATCCGGGACCCAGGCCTTCGCTCAGGACGGAGCCTTCAGTCTTCACCGCTTCCCCTCTACATATGCAAATTAACCGCCATCTTTGTTGGGTTAATTTGCATACTCTCCTGATTGGCTGGTGATTGTAGTGGAGGGATGGTTAATTTACATGTTTGTCTATTATTAGGTAAGATAAAATGCACATTTTATTTTTTGCATTACATTTCAGTATTCCAGAAAACAAAAAAAAAATTAGAAGAAAAGAGTGTATTATTTTATAGAAATGGACTGTTGCAGGTTTTAGGGTTCATTGTGTCAAATCTTCATTTACATTGTTAATATATATACTTTTCATTTGAAGGAAATTTTTCAAATTTTCAAGATTTTAAAATAAGTATCACTAGATATTTGTTGAGATTTTTTTTAGTAAAATATGAACAGGTTTTAATGTTAGCCTAAGAAAAAATGTAATATATATGAAATATATATGTGTAATATATATTTCAGAATCAGATACAGAAAAATACCTCCGACTTGTGGAGCTTCTGTCATGTCTGCAGTACAGAACTGTGGGAGAACAAACATGAATGTCAGAGATGGGAGCATGCCAAACAGAGCCTCCATATTTCACAGACACAGACATGAGTAATTCTAAAATAAGCTAGACATTAGGCAGTGCTGTAGGCCAATATGACCCAAATTCCATGAGAAAAGCATTAGATAGGAGAGGAGAAATTATTTCTAACCAGGGGCTTTTAGGGAGGATTCTTTGGAATTTTTACTGGGCCTTGAAGGAGTGCTGAGGAAGAATGGCATTTGAGGCAAGAGGAGCTTGAGCAAGGACTGTAAATGAAGGAAGTGCAAGGCAGTTTGGAAAAGGGCAAGTAGAACAGTATGGCTAGAATATGAGTATGATGGACTGGAATAGTGGAAATGGGGCTTGAAGTGATTTGGGCCTTGACTTTGAGAAACCTGGATTTTAGCACATTTTATTTTTTGCATTAAATTTCAATAGTAGTTTTTAGTCCACTTATATTGCTATGAAATATTTGACAAAAATCAGAGAAGATGCTCCATATGGTCTCACTTAGAAGATTCTTTCAATAGCTTAGAATAGAACTGATGAAAACCCCAGCTGCCCTGAAACATTTGTTTAGCACCTGCTATTGGCTGATCACTGCATTTGTCACCTGGATCTAAGATAATGTATAGCCTTTGAGCAGCAGTTAATAATATAGTTGTAGAGACAGAACACACATGAAACTGAAGAACATTTATGAATCGCAATATATCATTTACTTTGTCACTTTAGAATCTCTTTTACTTTAGTTTCCCTCCCAGGGCTAGTGTTAGCATAAATGTATTTGGTTCATTCATTCCAGATAGGCAAAAACTTGGGCAGCTATTGGAGAGGCATATTCTGCCTGGCTATTTAGAAATATTATAAACTTCACATGACTGTAATTGGATGATCCTTGCCACCATCCAGACTGGCAGTATGTTTAGAATAGCACTGGGTATAGATAGGAGCTGTCACAGAAACCATTTCAAGGCCATACACAATCTTTTCAGTTCATGAGATCTGGTTCTCAAAGGCAAGTGAGTGTTCCATACAACAGCAACAACATATAACAAATATCTTTAAAAAGGAGTTAAAGGAAAATGATTTTTATAATTACCATAGTTGGGTAGATGATTTCATGAATTTGTTTTCTTACTAGTACAAGATTAGTGCTCCCTTATAATCTAACTTTTTTGTTTTTTTTTCTTATACTTACTAAGACAGCAGTATTGTATCTACACTCTCTAATTATGTAAGTTTATGAGGTACTTGTAACCTTAAAATGTTTCACAGTCCTGGCATGGTACAGCCAGTCTGAGGTTGAAGGAATTGCTCATTCTTCCCTACACACCTTGGGCTCCCCCACTGCTGCATCTTTGCTCAAGTATTCCCCTTTACTTGGAATGACCTTCCTCTTTCTCCTTCTCTTTGGCTGTCTCAAAGCTGGTAATAATTTGAAAATGCAGTATGTTGCAGAGTAATTTATTCATAGTTCAAAGTTCATATATATATATATTTTTTTCATTTTTATTTAGTTCTTAATGATTCTTCCCCTTAGTGTCTTTTTTAAAAATTCACTTAGTACTTAAGATTTGATTATTTAGAATAATAACTCCCCTTTCTTACAGGATTAATCAGTTGTTTCAAGTGCTTGGAGCTTTATGAAAAGCATAGTATAAATGTATTGTCGTTATTACTATAATGTAATGATTACCACATGAATTAATACCATCTTTTTCATCCCTATTTTTTGTTATGTGGTTCTTTAGGTTCAGAATTTAACATTACGCAGCCAGAAGTTGGGTGTGTTATCTAGCTCACAGAATGGTCCACCAAAAAGCACTAGTCAAACTCAGTCATTGACAATTTGTCATAACAAAACAACAGTGACCAGTTCTAAAATCAGCCAACGAGATCCTTCTCCAGAAAGTGTTAGAAAAGGAGAAAGTCCAAGTCTGGAATCACGAAGCACAGCTGTCACCCGGACATCAAGTATTCACCAGTTAATAGCACCAGGTGGGATAACACCTTTGTTGAAAAATAGTTGCATTATTCATTTTCTTAGCAGGCAGAGAAAAACAAAAGATGTCTATTACTTGAATAAGAATGATAATTTTAAAGCATCTTAAAATGTGAATTTCATGAGTAAAAAAAAAACATTTCAATATTGTAGCTTGAAGAAAGAGAAATCAGAAGAGCCTAATAGCTAAAACAAATTATAATAATAAAATGGATTTTTGGGGGTAGGTTGACATTTGGTTAACATCTTCATTATGTGCTAGTTTCCTACTATAGCAATAAAACCTTTTAGCTTAAAAAACAAGATTTGTGTGTAGTTCATTTAATATGCTTTAGTGGAACAAAATTAAAAGCCTTTAAAAAATTTTTTTTTGTTTAAAATTGTCATTAGTGGGAGGAATTTATCACTTTCCAAAAATAAGATTATGCACAATTATTTTCTTTACCACGTTGCTTTTTTCCATCTTGGATTTCATCTTTAAGAGGAAGATGTCAGGGAGTCAACTAAGTTATTTTCATTCTCATCAAACTTTGAATCCCATGTGCATTCCTGCTATCTACAGATAATCTTGCTTTACGGTTCTCAGGCTGAAAATGTTGGGGCTATCTCAAGTGAGTTTTCTTACCATCTCTTCTATTCATCTCAGAATTTGTCAATGTTGAACTTTCTTCACTTCTGATAAGATAAAGAATTATCTGCTTTCCTCTTTAAAGTTAGCACTATTTGCTTGTGTCATTGATTGCATCATTTTTACTGGCTCCTGTCATAGTTATTATTGCATCTTTTGTCTCCCTCATGCTGGATATTTTTCCTTTGCTTCTGCAGCATACTTAGGTCTCTCTAACCTTAATATATATGCATATGTTTTTATAGCCGTATAATTATAATTATTGTTTATTGAAAGTGTGTGTGTGTGTGTGTGTGTGTGAGAGAGAGAGAGAGAGAGGGAGAGAGGGAGAGATGGAGAGATGGAGAGATGTACTGGGTCACATATGTTTTATTTTTTTAAAAATTTTCCTTTCATCCAACCTCATCAGGGAAGCAACTTCTTTCTATCCTTTTATAACTGCATTACTTTCTAAAGATTTATTTTAGAGTACTGAAGTCTGCATTTACTCCTCCTAAATCTATTTCTTTTTTTAAGTTTCCTCTGTGCCACGTTCTCTAAATCACCTAATCTCAAACTGTTGGAATTATTTGATTTCTTTTGTTAGAAATCTCTCATCACTTTGAATTTGTATAGCATTTTTATGCTTTTTAATGGCACTTTTTCTTTTATAGTTATTTATATAAGTATTGATCTTAGCTTTGCTATTAGGTGGTAAGCTCTTTGAGGGTAGGATAATATCGAGCACTTGTGTGTCAGGCACTTTACATTTATTGATTCTTTTAATCCTTTTTGCAGATTCACCTTTTCATCCTTTTATCTTATATATATTTCTCTGCAGTAGGTGGACAATAAATATTTGTTGGATTAATAGTTGATATTTTTCCCATTTTAATCGTGGACGTTATAGCACAGTTTTTTCCATTTGTATTAGTTAGGTATCACTGCTTAGAATTCTTAAATCTAAATCTTTAGATAAGTACAGGCTTTGTTATAACATATAAATTAATAAGTTTATTCATAGAATTCAAATGATAGTTAGATGTGAATTCTTTTTTATAAACATCTGTGTGACAGGTTCTGCTCTCTTTATGGATTGATAACAGGATTTTTATATTGTACTAGAGGCCCGGTGCATGACATTAGTGCACTGAGTGTGGTGGGGTGGGGCGTCCCTCAGCCCGGCCTGCTCCTTAAGCCAGCAGGCGGACATCCCCCGAGGGGTCCTTAGCACTGTCGCGGAGGCGGGAGAGGCTCCTGCCACCGCTGTGCTCACCAGCCGTGAGCCCGGCTTCTGGCTGAGCAACGCTCCCCCTGTGAGAGTGCACTGACCACCAGGGGGCAGCTTCTGCATTAAGCAGCTGCCCCCTGGTGGTTAGTGCGCATCATAGCAACCAGTCGTTCCACCGTTCAGTCGATTTGCATATTAGCCTTTTATTATATAGGATTGTCCAGAAATTCTCAGCCTCAAACCAGCCTCTCTGGCCAGTGTTGATAAGTCAGTGAGGAGCAGCAGTGACCCACTGTACTTGGAATGACTGCTTGGGACAATTTCTAGTGATTCCCATAGTTTTGATAGATTATACTGGAAGGTAGGTTAATTCTCTCCCAAAGAGACTGTTACCTTCAGAGAAAGCTAGGAACTTTTTCAGGGTTAGTTCCAGCAGGGAGCTCTACTTTTAGATTTTCAGTCTCCCTGAACTCCCAGTACCTATTTCTAAGTTGACACTTAATCTTCTCCCTTTCACTGTAGTGCAGTAATATCCTTGTAGTTGTCTTCCTCTGATGGCCAATATTTTATGTAGGTGTGGAGGAGACCAGTAAGCTAAAACCATCAAGGTCTCGGGAGAATTGCAATTCCAAATTCAGATGCTATGTGTATTAACCTAGTATTCTACGGGGTTGTCGATTAGAAACAAAACCAAATGGAACATCCTAACTCATATAAACTTTTGCAACTACCAAATTATAAATTTGTTAAAATTTATTCAAGCCTTACACTGTGGTTATTCAAAGCAATTTATATCTTCTGACGAAAACTGTATTTTCCAGCCTTTTAGTTTTTCTGCTCTTGCTGGTGGGAAGTTAGTCTGAAGCTAAGCTTTATTTTGGGAGATTCTTGGATTGGTAATTTGTCCTTTTCCTCAATTAGTAAAATGCTTGTTCCTACAGGTAACTTTCAAATACTAAAAGAATCTGTGTTCCAGTGTAGTACAGTTTAATAATTATTATAATGGACAAGGTTATTGCTTCCTTATATGTATTTTTAGGGTGCTAAAATTTGGTTTTCTTCATACTTGAAGGGGGAGTTCCCACTTGATAGTTAATAATTCTATTTTTATTATATAAAATAAGGCAAATGTCTGGAAATTAACCTTAACTATATTAGAGCTCAAGTTTTTTATAGCAGGTTTTAAAGCTTTTATGAAATTAGTCTAGTTGGAAAAACATATACCCTTTGTTTATTTGTTTAAGATATTACCTATAGTATTACATATGTCTCCTTTTCCCCCTATTGACTCCCCCCACCCATCCCCCTGTTACCCCCTCCCCCCATATACCCTTTTTTTGCAGACATTAATTCAGTGTGTAATGAAAAGCCTGTGTTAGTCTGTTCAGGCTGCCATAAAAAAACATACCATAGGCTGGGTGTTTTAAACAACAGTTCTGGAGGCTTGAAAGCCCAAGATCAAGATCTGGCAGTGTTTAGTTTTTGGTGAGAGCTCTTCCTGGCTTGCAGATGGCTGCCTTCTAGCTGCGTTCTCACATGGCCTTTTATCTGAGCGCTAGTAGAGAGGATAGTGAGCCCTCTGGGGTCTCTTCTTACAAGGGCACTAATAGTCTTAGGTCAGGGTCCCACTTTTCTGACTTCATTTAACCTTAATTACTTCCTTAGTGGCCCTATCACCAAATTGTCACATTAGGATTTAGGGCTTCAACACATGAATTTTGTGGGACACAAACATTCAGTCCATAATAGGAACCCAGACTTAGTTAGAAATATGGGTTCTTGGTGATTTCAGGCAAGTTTCTTAATGCTCAGAGTTTCTTCATCTGTAACATATTGGATTAGTGTAGTACCCTGCCTACCTCATGGGGTTGATGTAACTGTTTGGGATGGGTGGGTGTGGTTGTAACTATTGAATAAAATAATGTATTTAGTAATTTATAGTAATATATTATTTGTAGTAATTAGAGTTCTACTACGTAAGTGAGAGATGATACCAATCACAAATTCTCCAAGTATAATGCCACCCTGACAATAAAGTGTTTATTAAAACCAGGAAAAAAAAAAAGCATTATATGATTTTCCAGAGCACTGGTGCTTTTCTTGCACAGAAGTATTATTTCAGATATCCTCATAATTATTCTGTAATAGATGTGCTTGTCAGTTGGACTTATGGACAGTATAATAGATTCACTTTGATTTCTGATCAAAGAAAAATTTAACCTAGGTGAAAGGATAGACTATTAATCTGTTGGATTATCAACTCTAAAATATAAAAAAAATATTTCTAGAGCACAGAAGGAATTTTTATTCCTGTGAACATAATAACCATTATACTTAAAGAATATGCTAAGTTTTAATTATAACTTAAAATTGAATTAAAATGGGCCTTTGCTGTTATACTTGCAAACACTTAATTTTATTATCTGTAAAAGGGGAATAATACCTATCTACTTCATAGGCATTTATTTTTAGTACAGTGAGCAATGTGTAAGTACCTTGAGCCCCTTGGAAGAAAGGCACTCTATAGATATCCAAAATTTTATTGAATACTCATAGAGTCTTTATCAACACATTTATAAAGTGCTGACAATTTTCAGTCTTAGTTTGAAATGCCAGTCTAGTTAGATGAAAATTATTTTGTTAGATGAAATTTAATTTCCATTTAAAAAATTCATGGACATTTGTTGAACCTTCTAAATATCTTTTTGAGATGTTAACCAAATGTTGATTTCCTTAAAGAATCATGAAAAATTTAAAAACCTACCAAATGCAGAAATGTTTAAAAAGAAAAGTTGTTAGAAATTTTTATAAGGCCTTTGTCACAAATGTGGCTGAGTATAAAAATAGATGCAAGATCTTTATCTTCAAATTCTGAAATTAAGACAAAAATTTCGCCCTGTCTTTAGATCTGTTTTAATTTTTACATGATATTAATATTAAGCCACCTTTTCAGTTTATCTTCTAGTGAACCCAGTTTCTTTTTTTTTCACTTATTTTCAATTACAGTTAGCATACAGTATTATATTAGTTTCAGCTGTGAAACATAATGATCATATATTTATATATAGTGAACCCAGTTTCCATTCTTACTTAGATAGAGAGGATTTCACCAGCATCCTCTCTGTGTAAACATAAACACCAGTATGCAAAAGAGGCATAATGATGGGGATATTTAACTTTGTTAATTCTTTATATATTATCGCTGTTGTGAGTGGCAGCTCTGTGGAGAAAACTGGTACTATAGATTACTGTAGGGTTTTTTTGTTTGTTTGCTTGGGTTTTTTTGGGGGGGGGGCAGAGAAGTAAAACAAGATGCTTTATTTAGACAGTATGATTTTTTTATTGCCTCATTTTCTCTACAAGCAAAACTAGTGCTCTCCTAGATTTGGAAGGGCCCCTGGAATTTCATTTCTTTGTTACAGTGATTATTTGTGCTCTAGGAGTTACACATCTGTTTTGCTTAATTGAATTATCTTTTCCTGCAAAACATTTTCTCTTCCTTGGTCAAATAATACCAACTCTTTCATCTTGGCTCAATCTGGTAACTTATTTGGGAAGCTTTATAAGTGATTACATTGGTGATTAGTTGGAAGAATGTTTAGACACTGATTAGAAAGAATGAGACTTTTATTTTATGGATTTTAATATTGCATTTTTATGATTTTGAGGTTATCTTTATATATATTATACTTATTCAGTGATACTCCACTTCTCCCCAAAGAAGGAATTTAAGTGGATAATGTTGTTAAAAGTTAACACGTTTTCTGGGGACCTATACAATTTAATAAAAATAAATCATGTATAGATTCAGATTTATAAATTAATTGTTTTAGGCAGTTTTACCACAGTGCAGTTTATTTTATGAAATCTATAGTTTTCCAAGGAAAAGTTTTTTGTCATTACATTACATTTTGTCATTACACTCTTGTCTAGAAGACTTTTAATAACTTTCTGATGTAAAAATTTTCCTCCTTTAAATTTATTTAAAATTTCAGTGATATTTTTAAAATAAATACTAATTGTCATTTTTTTTCTCTCTCACAGCTTCATATCCTCCAATTCAGCCTCATCCTCTAATAAAGCATCAACAGATTCCTCTTCATTCACCACCTCCCAAGGTTTCCCATCATCAGCTGATATTACAGCAGCAACAGCAGCAAATGCAGCCAATTACACTCCAAAATCCAACTCAAGATCCACCCCCATCCCAGCACTGTATACCACTCCAAAACCATGGCCTTCCTCCAGCTCCCAGTAATGCCCAGTCACAGCATTGTTCACCAATTCAGAGTCATCCCCCTCTAACAATGTCTCCTAGCCAGTCACAGTCAGCACAGCAGTCAGTAGTGGTGTCTCCTCCACCACCTCATTCACCAAGTCAGTCTCCTACCATAATTATTCATCCACAAGCACTTATTCAGCCACACCCTCTTATGTCATCAGCTCTCCAGCCCGGGCCAAACTTGCAACAGTCCGCTGCTAATCAGGTGCAGCCAACAGCACAGCTGAATCTTCCATCCCATCTTCCACTTTCAGCTTCCCCTGTTGTACACATTGGCCCCGTTCAGCAGTCCGCCTTGGTGTCCCCAGGTCAGCAGATTGTGTCTCCAGCATCACACCAGCAATATTCAACCCTGCAGTCCTCTCCAATCCCAATTGCAACCCCTCCGCAGATGTCAGCATCTCCTCCAGCTCAGATTCCACCATTACCCTTACAGTCTATGCAATCTTTACAAGTGCAGCCTGAAATTCTATCCCAGGGCCAGGTTTTGGTACAGAATGCTTTGGTGTCAGAAGAGGAGCTTCCAGCTGCAGAAGCTTTGGTCCAGTTGCCATTTCAGACTCTTCCTCCTCCACAGACTGTTGCGGTAAACCTACAAGTACAACCACCAGCACCTGTTGATCCACCAGTGGTAAGCCCTTGGAAGCTATTTGACTTTCTTGCTGAAAAAGTAAAAACTATTTTCTCCTACATTATATTTATTGCTAGAGCTACATGCCTGAGTTTTAAAAGCTTGAAATTTACATCTGTCAATTTCTGACAAACATGCTGTATGGGCAAAAAAAAAAAGGCAATTTGTTGTAGTATGGTTGCATGCTTGATAATTTGTGATGGTTATTAAAGTCCCTTGTTAATTTTATTACTATTTAAACAAATCCATCTGCTATCTTTACAGAGTTGATTTTTTTTCCCCAAGGGAATACATTTGAACCAGTGTCATCTGCACAAAGTTTTTTCTCTTAAGGTGATTATCCTTCATAGATCCCTTCTGTTGGCTTGTATGTGCTTAAACGTATGGCTTATCTAGCTAACCTTTTTGGTTGTATGCATTCTGAAGTCGTGGGCCTTTAGATGCTTTTGTTTCAAGGTGGAGTATGCTTGTATGATACAATTTTTTTGTAAAATTATATATTGTAATTAAAATTGTAAAAACATTTATTCTAGGAAAGAATTTAACTTTACAAAAAAATTAACTGTAGGCTACCAGAATTATTAAACTTCTGATTTTTAAATTTCTACTAAGGGAAAATATATAATTAAAATATTTCTCATTTAAAACCCTAAAAAAATCTCAGTCAATGAATTGAATACTGAGGATGAAAAAAATCCATTGGGAGGAGTAAAAATTTTGAGTAATTGAGATTGGTGATTTTATCAGACTAAACCTCTAAAAATGGTACATGTTGTCTAGAAAGGAAAATTGTCTTGAAAAGTGTTTTTCTTTAAAAATTTTCTAAAGGATTTTTTATATTTATAAAATAATTTACAGTAAAAATTGAATAAGGTCTTAAAATTTTTAGGCAGAATGATTAAATTCATAATTAATTTGTAACTGAAAAATACAGTATTCCCAAAAGGAGGTTTATATCTTTACATAAAGACCTCACTGAAGGGACTTTATCACTTAAAGACCTATAACCATTTGCTCAGAAAGGAAGGGAGATTCAAAGTCTGTTCCTTAATGGGAAACAGTTTGGTCCTCAGGATGCTAATTTATAGATTATTGTCATTAAGACTGACGTACTAGGCATAAAGAGATTGAATTCCATTTCCTGTTCACTTTTATTAAAAACTAGAGGCCTGGTGCACAAATTTGTGCACTGGTGGGGTCCCTCAGCCTGGCCTGCTCCCTCTTGCAATCTGGGACCCCTCAGGGGATGTTGGACTGCTGGTTTCGGTCCCATCCCTGCAGGCGGGGGTCGGACCGTGCTCATCCCACCCCTGCTGCACCTGCCACCACTGCCACTTGGTAGCGTGCTGCCATGGAGGTGGGAGAGGCTTGTGCCGCTGCAGCTGCAATTGCCAGCCATGAGCCCAGTGTCTGGCACCTGTCAGCTGAGCGGCACTTCCGCTGTGGGAGCACACTGACCACCAGGGGGCAGCTCCTGCATTGAGCGTCTGCCCCCTCGTGGTTAGTGCACGTCATAGTGACTGGTCGACCAGTCATTTGGTTGTTCGGTTGCTTAGGCTTTCATATATATAGATAGAACTTGACAAAAACAACAATGGGCATCTAGAAATAAGCTTGCCATTCAATTATCATGTCTATATTTTCTTTTAATGGAGTTTTGGAGAGTTTACAATGGATATTGTACACAGGTTTCGAAGTGTGTAGTATCTTCAAAGAAATCAAATTTAATTTAAATTTATATTTTTACTTTATAGTTCAGTGAATTTGTTTTAACAAGTAGAAAATAAAATTTCCGTATATGCTTTACACTTTTCTAATTGTTTTTGTTAGGGTAAACTTTGGAGGAATATATTTGGGATAGAAATATGAAAAACATAACACTTAAAGCTAAAAATATTTACGTTCTTAATTTGTTATTTCCTGATTTCTTTTTAAAAACTTTGTTTTAAATTTATGTTATCTCATTTTTGGAAGGGTGTGTGTGTGTGTGTCTGTGTGTGTGTGAAAATGATAACTTGCTCTGCTGTCACTGGTATGCTCATACTATCGATATTTTCATATTATCTTTCATACACTTTTCTGTGAGTACCATAGCCTATTTATTAAATTGCTGTATCTTTCATTTATTATCTTTGATCAAATATTTTTTTCCTCAAATATTTCTTCACGAATTACACCTGTCTTCATAATTTCCCGATTGTTTCAAATACTTAAAGGTACAGAGATATATTTACTTCTTAAAAGATTTCAAATTTGAAAGTGTGAATTATCAAAGTAAAGTCAGTAATTTTTTTAAAATATATTTTTATTGATTTCAGAGAGGAAGAGAGAGGGAGAGATAGAAACATCAGTGATGAGAGAGAATTATTGACCGGCTGGCTGCCTCCTGCATGCCCCACACATGGAATTGAGCCCGCAACCCAGGCATTTGCCCTGACCGGGAATCAAACCCTGACCTCCTGGTTCATAGGTCGACGCTCAACCACTGAGCTACGCTGGCCAGTCAAGTTAGTATTTTTTAAAAGAGATATATTTGTAAAGTTTTTTTCATGTGGTGAGAATAGACAATTTAGAGCTAGTCAATAGTCCATAGTTTCGTAAGGAAAGGGAGACAGATGGCACTAATGCACTTTATTGAGGTAAGTTTGGCAGGCATTGCTAGTTTTAGAATAGTTATGAGCTAAACAGAAATTATGATGTGCAGTTTCCTAATGATCTTATCAGCAAAACCTCTACTTCTTTGCTTTATTCAATATTTTAGTTGTTGCCTTTATGTATTTTTTTATGCTGATGGTGCCAGATGTCTGACAGATGTGTTTTTATCTACTTCTCTTATTCATTAACTTATTTTGCCTTTACATGGGCAATTTGGAAGAATACATATTTAGGCTGACCTATAAGGAATGAAAAAGTATTTTATAGTATTCTTTGATGGATTATTTCAGAAAATGCTATTTGTGGTATGCCTCTTTTTATCCTTTACAACTCTCACTTTTTAAAAATCAGAGTTCTATGCATTATCAAACTTTGATTCCTTAAAAGGTATTGTAGTAGGTGTTTGAAAAACTTGTGATAGCATTAATATTAAAGAGAGTTTAGCATTTAAAAAAAAGATAATGACCTTTGGAGGAAAAGTAATAGCTAAGAAAGGAATGCTACACAGATAAAATTGAACTGGTAGATAAATTGATACTTGTCTAATTACTTCTGAATCAACATCCCCACTCCACCAAATTAAGGTAATCACTACTGCAACAGGTACCCCTCACTAGATGGTTTTGTTGTTTTCTTTCCTTTCATCCCAGGACTTCTTTTTTTTGGATGACTTCCTCTGTATTGGATATTACTATCATTTAAAAAATGTATCATGTACAGATATTAGCAGCTATCATGATTGCACACTGTACTATACTGAACAACTACTTTCACTTCTGAGGATCCAGACATGAGGCAAGGTATCTGTTGGTGAAACAGGTTTCTGTTTGCAGAGTTGTGAGCCAATACTTGAAAAATGTTGCCTACTTAGAGCTGATTCAGATCACAGTCCTGGATATAATATTTGATATAAATTTATTAGTAACAATAGGACTTTTAAAAATTTAAGGCAAAAGATTTCTTAGTAGAGTCTTGGAAAGTTAGTTTAAAAAAAACACAGAAAACTATATCTGTTGTTAAATATGCCTTTGTGGATGAAACTTTATAGTCCTTTTTATGATATCTGGCTTATTCTGGTTTCAGAAATTTTGATCATTTTTACATTTAATTTTATGTACTTAAAAATCAAACTATCGATAGTTTGATTAAAAATAGTACAATGTTAGATATCACTTAAATTTTCTTTGTTAATGTTGAAAGGTTTTATTTTAATATTTATTAGAAATTTTAATCAGTTTGAGTAAATAATCTTAAAAACTCACAACCTTTGTAAACGTAAGTAATAAGCTTTATACATAAAAAAGGGAGATGAACTGCTTTGTGGCTTTTTTAGAAAAAACCTACAGTCTTTTACAGTGGTTAAATAAATAATGCTGACAAACTAAAGCACCTGTGTCAATCTCTAGAAGTGGACTTTGAAAATTCAGTATTAAAGTTATTGAAATTAATAAGATATATTTTGTTATATGGTTCCTTCTCTGAGTGCTTTTGAATCTGTGTTTAAGTATAATCTTTACCATTGAATAACAAGGAAGTTAACAACCTAAAAACTTTCCTCTGGCTCTAGCTGGTTTGGCTTAGTGGATAAAGCATCAGCCTGCGGACTGAAGGGTCACAGGTTCGATTCCAATCAAGGGCACATGCCTGGGTTTTGGACTCGATCCCCACTAGGGGGTGTGCAGGAAGCAGCCGATCAATGATTCTCTCTCATCATTGATGTTTCTATCTCTCCCTCTCCCTTCCTCTCTGAAATCAATAAAAAATAAAATAATAAAATAACTTTCCTCTGTAATTATAGAATAATATTAAATAACCAAAATTAATGTCCCAAATGGGTTAGTATGGTATATGTGTGTATGTTATTTCAGGACAGATATTTTTCTGTTTACCTGATATCCTATATAATAAAAGCCTAATATGCTAAGTGTCCAGTCAGCCATTCAATCAATCAAAGCGTATTATGCTAATGATATTCTAAGGTCACTCAGTTGCTCACTATGACGTGCACTGATGACCAGGGGGCAGACAGTCGACTGGTTGACCAGTCGCTCTGACATGCTGTGACAACCAGGGGGCAGAAACTCCAACTGGTAGGTGAGCTTGCTGCTGGGGTCCAGCCGATTGTGACTGAGTGAGACGAGGGGTCCCTCCCCAGCTGGCCAATCTCCCGCATCCCTCCCCGGTCCCCATCGTGCACCAGTGGCGTCCCTCGGCCTGGCCTGCGCCCTCTCGCAATCTGGGACCCCTGAGGGGATGTCGGGAGCCGGTTTCGGCCCGATCCCGCAGGCCAGGCCAAGGGACCCCCCCTACCCTCTAGTTTGTTTATAAAAAAATCATTAGAATCTTGAGTAGATCAGAAGATTAAAGACAGATGTAATTGCATGCATACCTTTTTATGGGCATTCAGATATTTTCATAATTTAATCTTTGACATAAATATAGTAAAGAGCCTGAGATGTAGTCCTTTGGCAATACACTTCCTGTTATATTTTGTGTCATTTGGAGACTTACTTAGTGTGCTTGTGAAAAATAGTATTTATTTTGATTTATCACAATTAGAAGTTAACAGAAACAATAGTAATTATCAAAGTAGACTATAGAAAATCAAAACATTTCTTTTAATTCTCAAAATTAAAAATATGTTCTGACTTGCCTGTTACCTTTTTGGAAACCTTTTTCATTTGTAACATAGATACTGATTCACAACTTGCTTTTAGTGATATATTTACAAAATATTTAGCCAAGCATTTCCAAAACTTTATTTTTAAAGTTTTCTTTTCAAGCTAATAGTCATTTTACTGTTTTTAAATTCAAAATACTTGGAATTTATTTTGTTAAAATTAAATTAGGAACACCTTATTAAAAGTATTTTTAGCAACCTTTTAAGGCAGTGTGGTTTGTTGTTGCAGGTTTATCAAGTGGAAGATATGTGTGAAGAGGAAATGCCAGAAGAGTCAGATGAATGTGTTCGCATGGACAGAACCCCACCACCACCCACGTTGTCTCCAGCAGCTATAACTGTGGGGAGAGGGGAGGATTTGACTTCTGACCATCCTTTGTTAGGTAAGGAAATATCTCAATTGGGGGGATTTTCTATTAGTTTGTTAGTAATGGGAAAGTTGTTGTTTTTTTCACTACAGATGGTAGGTATTAAACTAATTTATGTAATTAATTACAGTAAAACATAATAATTAAGTGGGGTTTTTTTTTAAAGAGGAACAATTAAAACAACTGATAAGGAACCACTCAAATGAAAAACGCATCGTGGCTTCTTAATTTTTACTGGTTTGTACAGATGTGTTTCATATGATCATTCAGATACATATGTAAAGCTATTTCTATCTGAAAAATTGGAATAAATCAAAGTTCTATCAAAAGATTTAAATTATACTTTCCCTAAATCACAAAGCATTCTAAATCATATCTGGCATTCCTCATAATTGCTTGTGATCTAAACTGAATAAATCTTTTAAAAGTGTTCTTTCCCATACGGTACTTAAATTAAGCCTCACTAATTCTTAGTAGAGATGGATTAAAAAATTATTGAGTGTAAGCATTCAAATTCTTATTCACTATGTCACTACTACTTTTAAGTTAAAGTAAATCTTATGTATGCTCCTCTTCACAATTTCAAAGTGACTGTGAATCCTAGATATTTTACTAAAACATTAGTATGATCTGTTGCCCAGTGTCTCTAGAGCCTAAAAAAGATAAATTCTGTGTTACGGCGTTTTTTTAAAATGGTTGAAAAAAATCAAAAGAAGAATAATATTTCATGTTATGTGAAATATAAATTTCATTGTTCTTTAGTACAGTTCTCTGCAATACAGCTACATTCATTTGTTCAAATATTACCTATAGCTACTATTGTGTTACTGCAGCAAAGATGAGTAGTTGCAAAACCCATATTGTCCTTTATAGAAAGTTTATTGACCTCTGACCCAGGTAATACGAATGTTGGTTCAGGCTTCATTGTAGGTATTCTGTTCTCTTGATTATCTCTTGGTCCTCATGATCATTTCAGGTAAGAAGAACCTGAAATGAATTGTAATGGGGCACTGACTTTGCTCCCGCAGTAACACTTGCCCTCTCTTTTCTTCAACATGCCACATTTCTAACCCTTCTGTTCTCTCCAGCTTTTATTCTCTTACTACAGAAGTGAATCTCTGGAAAGTTTAGAAAGGGGAAAATCAGTTTTGTTCCAATTTTTCTCTCTTCTTAAAAATAGAAAACATTTAGTCAGTAAAATTATATAAATATTTAAGACAGTTTAATATTGCCTTTGTATATTCAAAACAATACTTCAGACGATAGATTTAAGAAAATCTAACTGTTTTGTATTTTCTGTACACTGAAAATGAATTTATGTTACTGCAGATTTTCTGGAATTTTGGTTTAAAGGCAGAAAGAAATTTATAGTAATTGGATAATTACCTTGCTTTGTGACTGTAATTGGATTACCTGAAAAGTATCACTAATGGTACTCAGAGGAAATTGTAAAGTTTTTTAAATATTGGAACACAAGTATATCTTCACATATTAGGCAAGGCATATAGTCTGAGATCCTGTTAAGCCTATCCCTCTGGCTATATTGTCTAAATACATTACAGACTTTTGAATCTTCCTATAATTTACTTCATACTTACTCTTTTGTAGTATATGAGGGAGAAAAGCAAGCAAGGCTGATATTTATAATAACTCTCATCAAATCATGGAATAAACTAACCTGAAAAATAGAGGGACTTGTTTCCATCTAGAATTCATTTTTCATAAATCTCAGCTCTTTTTAATTATTCTCAGATATCTGTATCCACTGATATTCCTTACTATCAGCTAGTTCTATCTTTCCACTTTCACACAGGCAGTAATTTTCAGTGCTAGCGAATGGATGGGTAGGTAGAGTCTCCGTCACAGGCTGGTGGGACTATCTTATTGAGGTCTTCAAGTGTTTGAAAGGGAGGAATCACAGTGATCCAGGCCAACATTTTGCAATTGCCTGGTAGTACAATATTCCTCAAATTGACATAGATGTTGCCACTGACGAATTTAAAACACACACAATAAAATAGAGAACATTTGTGCATGGATTTGAGTTAGCCTTACTGTTTGAAATAAAGGTGATGTAACCTGTGTAGTTCACTAAAATTTTTACTTATTCTATGGATTTCATGATCCATTTTTATTTAAGCATACTTTCAAAGTGCTTTTATTCCCTTATATCATTTGGAATATATAAATAGTAACATAGAAAATTTAATATCTATGCAGCTTAAAATTTTTTTGAAAAAGCAACAATTTCAGTAATCTTAATTTGGGATAGTTTTTTTTTTCAACCATGGTTGGAATGATAACTGAGCAAGTTACCCCCTTCTTCTGTAAAATGGGGATCATAATAGTTTCTATCTCATAAGGTTATTGTGCAGATTAAATGAGGTAATAAACATAAAGTTTTTAGCCCAGCCAGTGTTGCTCAGTGGTTAAGCATCGACCCATGAACCAGGAGGTCACAGTTCAGTTCTGTTCTTGGTCAGGGTACATGCCCAGGTTTCAGGCTTAGTCCCCAGTAGGGGGCATGCAGGAAGCAGCTGATAAATGATTCTCTGTCATCACTGATGTTTCTCTCTCTCCCTCTCCCTTCCTCACTGAAATCAATAAAAATATATTTAATAAATAAATAAAGTTGTTAGAATGATTTTTTAAGCACCAGATATTAGCTGTTACTGTTATTCGTGATTATTTTAAAATTATCTTTCATATTTGCCTGGGCAGAATGCTAAACATTAACATATATATATATATATTTTTTTTTTAATTTTATTTTTATTTTTTTCAGAGGAAGTAGAATTACCTGCTGTGGCATCAGTCAGCGCTTCAGTAATTAAATCTCCTTCAGATCCTTCACATGTTTCTGTTCCTCCTCCTCCACTCTTACTTCCAGCTGCTACCACAAGGAATAATATTACATCTATGCCCAATAGCATTCCCAATATAGAAAACAAACCTCCACAGGCTATTGTTAAACCACAGATCTTGACCCATGTTATTGAAGGCTTTGTAATTCAAGAGGGATTGGAGCCATTTCCTGTAAGTAACAAGCAAGTTTGTATTTTTAAAATAATTCGTGTAATAATATTTTAAAATTTAGTCTGTTTTTCTCTAATAAAAAGCTTATAATTTTATTTCAAAAAAGACACTTTTATCTAGAATTTATCTTTCTATATATATCATGTATATACTGTAAATATACTTCTAGAATTTTATGCTAGCTATGTAGATGTATAAACTAAGGATATAAATATGTCAATTTTATAATTTTTAGAGAAAGATAGTTGGAAGTTTATTCCAATAAAATAAATTTTCCTATTTTTTCTTCTTAAGGGGACTAAAATGATACCTAAGTGTATTTTTAAAAAAATTGTGTTTCTTATATAATGTGATACTTGGTGAACAGAAAATAACTTCCCAATGATCTAATCCTTCTGAAATTACCCAGTGGATGGTTTATAATTAGCAAATATATATTCTCATTATTCTTAAATCTCAGCCTTCAATCAGATTTTTTAAATGCTTTAAAATGCTCACCTCGAAGTATCACTAAAAGTCTTGTAATTTGAGACTAGTTATATATCCCTTATATGCTACTCTCTAGAGATGAACATTTTTCCTTAGAAAATAAATAAAAAAATGATTAGCCAAAATAAAACAAAATAGTTTACTTTGAATGTCTTTGAATCATCTAATTTTTAAGATTCATGGGTAGCATTACAATAGTTGGTTGCCTCATTAGTTGCTTTGTTTTCAGTTTACTAAGAGTGTATTAAACATGGATCTTCTATAAGAATCCTGATTTAGTGAGTAGAGAAACAGTCATTTCTCTCTATTCCTCAGTGTTTGGATCCTGGCTCTGCAGCATACTGACTGTGCAAAGTTACACAGTCTTTTTTGATCTTCATATTGTTCATCCGGCAAATGGAGATGATACTTTGCTCTTAGAGTTGTTGTAAGGATTAAATATACATAAATTATTCTGTGTAGTACTGGCACTTAATAGACATAGCTATTTATCAGTATTACTAGTGACAGTTACAACTTTACACTACAAAAAAAGGGAAATTTGGGAAAAGTACAGAAAAATCCCCACTAATACCACATTGTGTACATTTATATATATTTTTTTCATATGATCAAGATGATTATTATATATACTAGAGGCCCAGTGCACGAAGATTCGTGCAAGAATAGGTCTTCTTTCCCCTGGCTGCTGGCACTACCTTTGCTCCGGCTGGAGCCACCTTTCTGCCTTCGTTCCAGCCCAGAGCTGCCTTTCCACCTTCCCACGCTGCCCAGAGGCCCGGAGTGGCTGGGGCCACTTGGCTCCTGCGCATGCAAAATAACCCACCATCTTTGTTGGGTTAATTTGCATGCTCACTCCTGATTGGCTGGTGGGTGTCGCAAAGGTACGGTCAATTTACGTCTGTCTTATTAGTGTAGATAGTTTTGCTTCTTTCACTTAGTATATCTTGAGCTCTTATCTATAATAATAAAAGTAATATGCTTATTAGACTGGACTTCCTTCTGGACAAAGCTGCGGTGGGCAGGGGCCGAGGCAGAGGTGGCTGCCATGGCGGCAGGGGCCCAAGGCCCTTGCACGAATTTCGTGCATTGGGCCTCTAGTTTTCTCATAATATTAATAGTACTTTGGAAACATTTTGAAAGGTTACATTATATTCTGCTTTATATACAACCAAAATTTATGTAATCCTTTCATTATTGTTGGACATTTAAGTTTCCATGTTTTCACTATTTAAATAGTCTGAAAGGAATATCTTTGTATATAAATTATCCACATTTTAAATAATTTCTTTAGCATAAATTCCTTAGAAGTACTGGCATGTATTTATATTTACATATATATTTGTAAGATTCTATATATATTACTAAATTATTTTCTGGAAATATTATTTAAATTTATTAACACACCATGAGTGTATAACCTTAGCAGCACTGAATATTATAGTTTTTTACAGCAATAATTTTTATAAATTTTACTTGAGGCATATTAAATATACTAACTGAAATGAACACAGTTTAAAAGTATATGGATGACTATTTTCTAAAGTTAAATATAGAAACTTTTAATAAGTTATTTTTGACCAAGTGTGGCAGACATTGGAGAATTAACCCGCATTCTTAAATAGAATAAGAGGTTCTGTTTTTCAGATTAGCTCAGGGTTCACTAGCAAATCAGTAATTATTTTTGATCTGGACTGTTTTTGCTGAAAACAGTTCTAAAATAAGTATTATTCATGACCTAAGTATACTGATCGTACGTGAATTTTTTGTTAATTTTAATGTTTGTGGATTTTTCCATTTGTTTTCATGATTATAGATTTGGTTGCTGAATTAAGAATCAGGAGACTTGAGTTCTAGTCGTTCTTTCTTTTGTAAAGAAATCACCTAAACACTGAACAGTAGTTCCCTTATCTCTATTTTAAGTGTAATTGATTGACAATATTATATTAGCAATATTATATTAGTTTCAGGTATATAATATAGTGATTTGACATTTATATACCTTACAGTGTGTTCATCACACTAAGTCTCATTGTGGTTTTAATTTGCATTTCCCTGATGATTAATGATATTGACCATATTTTCATATGTCTCTTAGCCATCTGTATGTCATCTTTAGAGAAATGTCTTCATGTGCTCTGCCCATTTTTTACCATTACTGTATCTGTATAATACACATAAAAATGATCTATCCTGAGGAGATAACCCTACAAATAAAAAGCTTTATACATGAAAAATCTTAAAAGTTGTTACAGAAAAAAAATGAAAGAAACTGGCAAATAAAAACGTATTACTGATTTTTAAAAGAAAATACTTTTTCTTAACTATTTACTTAAACTAGGATGCTAAGTTCCATTTGACAGAGACTTTGAAGCATCCATATTGCTGATGACCTGAACTATAATGTTTATGTCCATATAGCCTACACTTTTCTCAAGGAAAAAGCACTGAATGACTGTATCAGATCAATTGGATAAGCAGATGATCACTGATACCATTTTTTCAAGAGTTTTTTTTTAATTGATTTCAGAGAGGGAGAGAGATAGAAACATCAGTGATGAGAAAGAATCATTGATCGGCTGCCTCCTGCACAACCCCACTGGGGATTGAGCCCACAACCCAGGCATATGCCCTGACCAGGAATTGAACCCGACCTCCTGGTTCATTGGTCTACGCTCAACCACTGAGCCACACCAGCTGGGCTTCAAGAGTTGTTTTAACCAACTTATTTCTGAAAGTCTTTAAAAAGATTATTTCATTTTATTCTCTCTCTGTTTTAAAGGTGAGTCGTTCATCTTTGCTAATAGAACAGCCTGTGAAAAAAAGACCTCTCTTGGATAATCAGGTGATAAATTCTGTGTGTGTTCAGCCAGAGCTACAGAATAATACAAAGCATGCAGATAATTCATCTGACACAGAGTTGGAAGACATGATTGCTGAAGGTCTGTGGATTTTACTTAAGATACCCTTAATTCACTTTGACTTTTACTGCTTGAAACAGAACATGGATTTTTATTCCACACATGGATTTTTACTTGGAAGTATTTACTTTTATTCTCAAGTAATACATTATTTGATTAGAATAATGGGAAAGGTAACCAGACTCTTAATGGCCAATTAATAAAAATAATAAGACTGGTTAATTTACATACTATCAGTTAATTTGACTTTTGAAAGAATGTGGGTGGGAAAAATTCCATTATACATGAAAGTAATTCAAAATTTTAGCATCAAAACAACCAACTTTGTTTTTTTTTTTCCCAAGTTAACTTAAATAAATGACTATTTTATTGAGTTTGCTTAAATATTTAGAGCTTTTGAGTTGTTTGGCTTTAGGCTTTCCTTATTTTGATGTTTGATGTCTAAGTAATTATCCTCAATATACTAGCATATTCATCTGAAATTAATTCATTCATTTTTGAAAATTTTTTATAATCTTTACCGGAGGATATGCTATATATCTCCATGGCACAATGTACTAAAATTCATATCCCACAAGGTACTTTTTGAAAGTGTTCCTCCTGCAGAGTAGTGGCTTTGTCTTACTCATCTTCATTTCTCTTACAGTGCTTAATAAAGTTATTTGCACGTTTTTTTTTAATATATATTTTATTGATTTTTCACAGAGAGGAAGGGAGAGAGATAGAGAGAGTTAGAAACATCGATGAGAGGGTAAGGAGGGAATTTATGGAGGTGGTTGGTTTTGGAGGCTTTGCCCTGCCAAAGTGGCTGTGGATTGAAAAATTCAAAAATCAAAAAAAAAGAAAGAAAGAAAAGAAAAATTCGAAACTCATTCCTTTAAGTTTCTTGGAAGGTCTGAACTAGCAGTATCCCACCAAAATAGAGGCTAAATGAAAATTTGCCACAATTAAATTTTTGTGAGGTTTTTTTTTTGTTTCCTTCTTTTTTAGAGACATTAGAAGAAATGGACAGCGAGTTGCTCAAGTGTGAATTCTGTGGTAAGATGGGATATGCTAATGAATTTCTGCGGTCAAAACGATTCTGCACTATGTCATGTGCCAAAAGGTATTTCTATTTTGAATTTCCTAAAGCACAAAACAACCACTTAACAAAACCAAAAAACTTGTAGAGTTTACCAGTAGTCAAAACTAGATATTACAATATAGAGGAATACTATGAAATAGATATTATCTGGAGCTACTTTGGTAGTTAGTTATTAAATTTTGCTCTTTGAAAGTTATATAGTCCTAATACTTACAGTTAGTTTTTCAGCATAATCTAATATTTAAGTAGCAATCTCCTGGTGATAAGAATATATGCTTAGGAGAATCCCTCCTGTGAATAGACTTACTAGTCTTCAAGGTATCAAAACAGTTTTTGTTTTATCACCTGATTTTTATTTATCAATATTAAAATACCTGGATTTACTTTGTTTCAAAATGTTTTCTTTTGTTTTAATGTATCCTATTAATTTTAGGTTTCTAAATAGGACAGCTATCCATGTTCTCTACATTGTTATATTGTCAGTAAAATATCTCTTTTCTAAATACGTATTTGCAATAGTAATATTACAGGTAAATAGTATTGATAACAAAATAAATGTTTAGTATCTTCATTGATCTTAGTCTCAAATTTAGTTTACATTAAAAAAAAACAACCCACCTCTGATTCTGATAGTGCTAAAAATTCATTAACAGGAATCTCATTTAAAGTGGAGAGGCCAGAAGGGGGAGCTCTCATGACCAATGATAATCACAAGGCACAACAGAGAAACTTTGTAATATTCTTTCTAACTTACTTTTCCCCTATATATTAGAATTTCCTCTCCTTCATTGAGGAAATAGAATAGAAAAATAGAAGAGCAGAAGGGAAGTGTCTGACTCTTCGTATTTTACCACAGTTGCATATACTCATACTGGGTTGCAATTCCTTGTTCTTGAATAAACCCACTCTGCTGGAGAAATATCTGGCTGACTTTTTGTTTACAGTCAACGTAATAAATCTTTATGTTGGTATTTACCATGAAAGGTGAAATGTATGTACAGGTTGATTAATTTGAAATTTGTTCTCTATTTGAAAGAGAGTTTAGGATCTTAATTTTATACATCTAGGGAATTTCTTGCTTGAACATATTATTTAGTGTGGTGCCACTAAAATATACTTAGTAAAACTTAGGATAAGTTTTGTACTGTTGAATAAGTAATTGAAGTATTTTCCTCCCAAAATGGCTTCATTGGTTTCTTAGTTGTCAGTCTGTTACTCAGATATCCTTTTATGTTATTGACAATCCTAAGAAAATTATGTAACTCCTGTTTAACATGGGAGTTTTCCAGTTTGTGTATACCACAGGAAAGAATAGTGGCTCTATGGTTCTAAATGATTGAAAACTCTGAGGGGAAGGACTACTGTTTTTCAGAATATTTTAAATTTCTTGACTTTTAAGAAACATTTCAAGTCTTTTAATGCTACCATTATTCTTCTCCAAGAGATTATTGCTGAGTTGTCGCATTATCTTTTGTTCCGGCCCTCCGGTCCAGTTTAAGAACCCATTGTGGTTTGCCCACCCCTGTAAATGATTGAAAACTCTGAGGGGAAGGACTACTGTTTTTCAGAATATTTTAAATTTCTTGACTTTTAAGAAACATTTCAAGTCTTTTAATGCTACCATTATTCTTCTCCAAGAGATTATTGCTGAGTTGTCACATTATTATACCTTTAGGTGAACCCCTTAGAAGATTAGGGGTCCTAATATAGGGAAATGCAGATGAGAGAGCAAAGGGGAGAGGATAAATTAGGTCAGGGAGGAATTGCTGCTGTTTACGACTGTCTTGGAGATCTAAATATTTAGGGACTAAATAGCAAGTGTAAAGTTAGTCTGTCTTTTCTGATCTTTAGTCAGTGGGGAAAGAAGTTTTGTCAATTGATAAGAATGGAAATCAGAAACCAACAGAGCTGAGCCCATGGAAGCGTATAATGAACATAGCAGGAGCTTGTTAAATTGTTTAGGGTAAAATGAGGTGGCCATTAGGACACCTTTTTGTTTTTTATATTTTTAGGGGGGAAAAAGCCTGTTCATTCTCATAGTGCTCCTTACTTTCACTTCCTGATATTTTGAGAAAACATACATGAGAAAAATTTATTTTGGCATCTATATATTGATCCTAGAACAGTTATCAATAGCAAAGTTAATTGGGATTTATTCTTGTCATTTTTCTGCAAAATCTTAGAGCAAAAGAGTTTTGAAAACATGAAATTACAATGATAGTTGTATATGTGTAAAATAAGAGGAACTGCATGTATTTTTCTTAGCCTTTCTGAGTTTTTCTGAAATTGTTTCTTAGATTATTTCTTTTCACTCTTCTTTCTAGGAATAGGGTAGGCAAACTGCCCAGACAGAGTCATTCCTGTGGCCTATATTTATATGATCCATGAGCTAAGGATGGTTTTTGAATTTTGGGATAGTTGAAAAAAAAATCAAAAGAATCATATTTTGTGACACATGAAAATTATGGGAAATTTAAATTTTAGTGTTTCTAAATAAAGGTTTATTGGAACACAGCCATGCTCATTTATTATTGTGTATGTCATAATTGCAGAGTTGACTAGTTGTAACAGAGACTTGAATGGCCCACAAAGCCTAAGACATTTACTATCTGGCCCTTTATAGAAAAAGTACCCAGTCCCCTGTTCTAGGGCCTTGGAACCCAATAAATGGCATAAAACTATTTTAAGCTGCTACTATGCCATATAAAGGTCTATTCAAAAATATTAGATAGTCTATCAATTTCAAAGAATTCTGTATTTTAAAATTTCCTGAAGAGTGAGAGCTATGAATTCCTTGTATAATTTTGAAATCCCACCTTTACATTTTTACTCTTTGATTCAGTAATATATTTGAAAAATCTTTTACTAGCCATTTGAGATTTTATCTTTCTCTACTGTATTAAGCAATTTTTATTAATCACTTTTCAGATATTATTACTTGGAAAAATACCAGTTTGGATGAACATTTAAATAGTTAACTTCTTTTTCTCCTGGAACCTTGAATTATTTTGCTGCTGTAAAAATCAGTTGCCCTCTCTATTTTACAGAAAGTTTCCCACTATCATGCTGTTATTAGGAGGAAATATCAATACTTGTCCAGTATTAGATTGAGAGCTATGTATTATACAGATATACGCAGAGGTCAGTTTTTGACTGTTAGCATAAGTAAATCCATTGAACACTATGGTTTACTTTCTGAGGTATTATAGTTCTTAATGAAGTATATGCCACTTACTGATTCACAAATTCACTTTAAAGTCATAATTAACTACTAAATAGAGTGTCCTATATATCATTTAATATTTTTTCTTACTTGAATTTCTTAGGTACAATGTTAGCTGTTCTAAAAAATTTGCACTTAGTCGTTGGAATCGTAAGCCTGATAATCAAAGTCTTGGGCATCGTGGCCGTCGTCCAAGTGGCCCTGATGGGGCAGCAAGAGAACATATCCTTAGGCAGGTCTGTAGAAACCTTGCTTCAATGTACAATACCCTTTTCAGTAATGCAAGGAAAGTGCAATGCTGTATTTTACTTGTACTACATTTTCCAGCTTCCAATTACTTATCCATCTGCAGAAGAAGACTTGGCTTCTCATGAAGATCCTGTGCCATCTGCTATGACAACACGTCTGCGCAGGCAGAGCGAGCGGGAAAGAGAGCGTGAGCTGCGAGAAGTGAGAATTAGGAAAATGCCTGAGAACAGTGACTTGCTACCAGTTGCACAAACAGAGCCCTCCATATGGACGGTTGATGATGTCTGGGCCTTCATTCATTCTTTACCTGGTACGTAATTCAGCATTTTGGCCTTAATGTTTTTTTGTGCATTCACACACAGGAATGATGTTAGATCCATCTGCACCTATTGCGCGAAAGGTTCGAGAAGTACTTATGTATATATATATTAGTTAAATAGCATTTGCTATTGAAATATGATCTGTTTCCTCTTGCTTATTCCCTCAGCACAACTGGGTATTTTCTCATACCCTCAAGTCGATAAAAACTGACTAGTCCTGCTTCAGCTGTGACACCTCAGCCGGTGAAGGTATTAAAGGTGCTCTCTTCTCTTCAGTCTGATTTCTCTTGAGGGGTCAGTAGAGAGATTGAGTCAGACACTTCTTCCCTCTGCTCTTCTACTTTTCTATTCGGTTTCCTCATTTCCTAATTTAATATTTAACTTTTTTTTTTTTTAAATAAGAGAGACTATAATTTTTTTTTACATTTTTGAAAGCTAATCAAGACCTTTTAGACTATGATTAAATTTTGGTTTCTTTTAAAGGAAGCTGCATTCTTTGATTCTTGCAAAAAGTAGGTATCAAGAACAGTTCCAAAATTTGATTAAGTAGACAGCTAACATTCAGTTATGATATTCTATCCCAATAGAATAGGATAACTTTCTTATGTTTTTCTGCTCTCTCATTTTTGAATTCTTTCCATCAGCTTAATCTTTATGTTCTTTATCTTTTCTTCTTTAATGTGACAATAAACATAAAGTCCACTTTCTCCAAGGGGCTGGCTACTAAAGACATTTGCACCTTTGCTCATGATGAAACCCACACACTGGTTACATATGTTAAGACAATATATGTATTTTTTTAAATCAACAAATCTTATCATTCACTTTGGCCTTATGAATATGGAACACAAGGAAATTGTTAAATGTGTGTTCCATTTTGGTTTTATTCTGAATCATACCATTTATCTTGATAAAAGCTTTCCAGAAAAATACATCCCCTTTGCAGTTGTCTGCAAGCTTATTAAAATTAATCCAGCTAGTTTTGCTAATTAATCTTTCTATGAAGGCCACTGTCTCAGAAGTAAATTTACAGCTAATGTGCTGTGAGAGTGAAGAAAGTATATTTAGCAGTATTATTGCTTTAAAAAAAAATTTGTCAGCCATTTTACCATTTCTGTTTTCAGAACTCTATGAGATTTTATTGAATTCTTTTTTCTTTTAAAATATATTTTTATTGATTACAGAGAGGAAGGAAGAGGGAGAGAGAGATAGAAGCACCAGTGATGTGAGAGAATCATTGATTGGCTGCCTCCTGCATGCCCCACACTGGGAATCAAACCGTGACCACCTGGTTCATAGGTTGATGATCAACCACTGAGCCACACCAGCTGGGCTAAATTATTTTTTCAGTACCTTGTTTTAGAAATGCTAAATAAGTTTTGTGGTTTCCTTTCTTTTTTTAAAAGAAAAACAAGATATAGTCATTTTTAAAGAAAGAAGAAATTGTTTAAAGAGGGATACATTTTCCATGGGAAGATTTTTAAGCACACACCTAAGAAAACTTAGGTGTGAGTTGTGCTGACCATGTAGGTTTAGAATCTGCATTAAAACTGATGTATTAGAGGATGATGAGTCTTTATTGTTTGTGGTTTTAATACTTAATGAAATAAATTTTAGATTTTAGATTAGTTTAGATATCTTGAGATTTAACCCTAAAGTCTGTACTGATCTCCTGGGCTAGACTTTGATTCTGTCATCTTCAGAAGTAGTCTCAGTTTTCCAAATGGGGCGTGTGAGCTGTTTGTTAGCTGCGGTTCTCATTTGGTGGAAAGTATTTCTTTTCCTTTGGGGATGAAGGGTGGTTCATATCCTGAAGAAAGTAGGTTGACAAGCAAATAAATAATTGATAGTACTGAGTCCTCTGTCACTTTATATGCTTTTTTAAGGACTAATTTTCCCCAGCATCCATTTGCCATGAGGCTACTCTTGGCTGCTTTTATTGGCACAAAGGCTAACTCCTTTGTCTCATTCTTGCTTTGTTTGAATTAAAAAAAAAAAAAGATTATTGCTTATAACTTTAGATGCTTGTCTTACTGAGTTCATCAAGACACTTAATTTTATTGCCAGTGTTTAGAGAACATTACATGTCATTAAAAGGAGACTGCTTTATAATTAAGAATTGCTTGGGTCTGCTTAATATAACTCTGCTTTTCTTTTACTGATTAAATGGGAGTATTTCCAAACTTTTATATGTTAAATAACAAGCTTATTTGTGTGATCCTTATATCTTCTTTTTCAAAGTTTTGCTCTCTGAAATGCCTGTAGTTTAAGGTAACTTTCATACCAGAATAAGCATTTATCTTCATTTCCCTATGTTCTTCTGGTCTCTGTAAACTTCCTTTTGAGCCTCTTTGAGCTCATTCAGGGCTTTTTGTTTGTTTGTTTGTTTTCCTGAGTAGTCTACTCCCAAGTTTTTTTCCTAGAATGAACAAGCTTGTAAATTTTGTAATCCTTTGTATTTTCTTTCCCTCTTTTATCAGGGCACCTACATTTACCCCTAGAGTTTTCTCTTCTCTTTGTATAATGTCATCTTGTGCACCATTCTGGTGGGATCATATAGAGCTGGTATGCAGTACATCCAAATCTCAGAGCTGTTAGCAGAAAGAAAAATTATTTTCATATAAATTTTTGTGCATTAAAAAGTTCCTACAGAAACTATTCTTTCTGTTTTCAGTTAATTGCAGTTATCTTCTTCAACTCTTCCTTGAAACAATTAAATTGCAAAGATCAATTTATTCTGGATTTATTGATCTTTGAATCTGCAGTAAATTAGGTTTCTTTGTAGGCATATAAAGTATAGGAATTACATACAACTAGAAGCCCGGTGCACAAAAATTTGTGCACTGGCAGGGGGGGGTCCCTCAGCCCAACCTGTGCCCTCTCACAGTCTGGGACCCCTCAGGAGATAACCACCTGCTGGCTTAGGCCCGCTCCCCTGGTGGCAGATGGCACGCCCAATTCCGCGGTGCCTGCCCTGTCTCCCCCAGTCGCAGATGGCAGGCCTGGATCCCGCTGGGTCAGGCGGTGGCTCGGGATCATGCTGCTGCCCCGCCCCGCACACGGCAGGCCCGGATCCCGTGCTGGGGCAGGCGGCAGCTAGGAATCTCGCTGCCGCCCACCCAACCTGCCCTGCCCTGCACACGGCAGGCCCAGATCCCACGCTGGGGCGGGCATTGGCTTGGGATCTCACTGCTGCCTGCCCCGGGCGGGCTGCACAGTGGGATCTGCCTGCAGTGTGCAAATTTAACGGCCATCTTTGTTGGGTTAATTTGCATACTCTTCTGATTGGCTGATGCGTGTAGCAAAGGTACGGTCAATTAGCATCTTTGTCTTTTATTAGTGTAGATATGACTATTTACTAGTTTTCATAATACTAACATTGGGACTTGATTTTTCTGTAATATTGAATGGCAGGTCATAGCTTTTCACCTTTCTTATTGAGGCCATTTTTTGTGCAGGGTGAGTTTATTTTGGGTTTCTCTGGAAAAGTGACTGGATGCTTGGTACCCGTGTCCATGTGTTCAGGTCTGTGCACACCCTGATAGCTGCTTCTGGTGATGTAAAGCCGGTTACTACAGTTGGGATATATTTTGTACATATCCCTAGGGTGCAGCTGCTTTACAGAAGGAGATTTTAATGTCAGAAATTCATAGAACTAGCTCAGTACATCCTGAGCATGTAGAATTTTTTTAAAATTCATTTTTCTCAATTTTCTGGAAGCATATTTGCTTCTATTTTTTTCTTTTTTAAGTCACTTTACTTTTTAACTTATGTACTAATGTATAGTATAATCCCCCTGCCCCTTTTTTGGGTTGGCTTAAGAAAGTTGTGATCTAAAATTCTGAAGATAATGCATTCATATTTGATCATGCTGTTTTCCCAAAATTTTTGTTCACTATTATTTTGCTAATACCTTTATTGTCCACCTGCAAGAAGACATTTGAAGAGGGATCTCATAATGCAGAGGAACGAAAACATGCTATATATTTTCCTCATGGAGAGCTCCTTGTTTCTATTCCCACATGTAGCTCTTATAGTCCTCATTACTTCTCATGGCTCCTGTTTTCTGAATCTAAGTAAGTCCTACCCTATCTTTCTCTCTCTTCTTTTCTTCCCTGTGCTCTTATAAGTAAGACTGAAGAGAGAAGAACATTAGTTCTTTCATATAAAGAAGGATGAAGTCACAACTAGACGCAAGATTAGTCAGTTTTGTCTGCCCAGTTTTGAGAGCTACCTCTGGGAAAAGGAAAGGGGCTTTTCTATGGTGAGTAATTCCTTTTAACTATATAATTTCTTTTATATGGTAAATGGGCAAAATCATAAAAATTCCTCATAGAGTACTTTTGAAATGTCAATTTTTAGAAGTCTGAGAAATTATTAAGACTAGAGAAATTGATAAGCTGGCTGTTATATAGGAAACAAGAAAGATACAACCAACAAAGAAGGCAAAAAAATATCCAAGAGAAAAGATGGCCACACAGCAAAATACAGAAAAAGTGTTTGTATTACTCTTACAGATGGTTCCTCTCTAACAGATTCTGTTTTTTGTTCATTATTTATTTATTCACTCATTTAGTCCTTCACTTACCCCCCCCCCCCCAAAAAAAAAATATATATATGTATATTTAGCACCTACAGTGCTTTGTGTTTAGTTCTGGGGTTATAGGGATGACATCATTATCTATATAAACAAGAGAATGATACGTTTGCAATAGGAAGATAATCATTTCTGCAAAGTTGTGGTATCTAAAGATGTAATGTAACCATTTCCATTTTTTTGTGTTTTCCCTGAGAATACTGATTTGAATAAAATAGACTTTAAGCTGTTAGTATTTATTCTTTTTTGTTTGTTTTGTTTTTCTATTGATTTTTAGAGAGAGTGGAAGGGGGGGAGGGAGGAGAAGAGAGAGAGAAATATCAATGTGAGATACACCGATTGCCTCCTGCACACACCCCAACTGGAGCAGGGATCGAACCTGCAACGCAGGTACATGCCTTCGACCGGGAATCAAACCTGAGACCCTTTGGTGTGCAGGCCAATGCTCTAACACTGAACAACACTGGCTAAGGCATTAGTATTTATTCTTAAATTTATTTTTCTAATTTTACTGTCTAAGGAAGCTTCTACATTTTGCATTCTCTTCTCTCTTGGTTCCTTAATTCATTACCTTCTTGCTAGTTTCCTTATCCTTAGTGGAGAAGTTTATTGAGTAACCTGACTGCAAAATTTGGTAGATAATAAGAACATTTGGGGTTCAAGTTGATTCTAGCATTGTTTGTTACCTGATAAAGCACCTGATTTAGTTTGAGAGCTAAAATATTGTTTTTTGGCAAGATGTTAGTTAGCAAGCCCCTAATTTCAATGAGAATTTATGTTTCAAAAGTGGAGATGAGTCCAATGATACTAAGATTTGAAGTTGAAATTACAAGTAGAGCAGTATAATACATTTTAGCAGTATTGCAATAGAGCAATACTATAATCTTGATGGATTGGTTCTGTCCTTAGTGAACAATAAAAATGTTTTCGATGTGCTTGCCAATTGAAGGTTGTAAATTAAAAGTTATAAGAGATAATGAAAGTGGTATTCTGGTACATAATGTTATAGAAAGATAAGTTCATGAGGTATAATAATTAGTTAATCTAAACTTGTTATATATGTGGCATGCTTTGAGATGACACCATCATCCTTTTTGTGAAGATAAGCTATATCTAGAGTCTAGATCAGGGGTGGGCAAACTTTTTGACTCGAGGGCCACAATGGGTTCTTAAACTGGACCGGAGGGCCGGAACAAAAGCATGGATGGAGTGTTTGTGTGAACTAATATAAATTCAAAGTAAACATCATTACATAAAAGGGTACGGTCTTTTTTTTTTTTTTTTTTAGTTTTATTCATTTCAAACGGGCCGGATCCGGCCCGCGGGCCGTAGTTTGCCCACGGCTGGTCTAGATAGACTGATCAATCCTTACATTTTACCTGACTCTTACTAATTATTTCTATATTATTTTTAGAACAAGAATTCCAAGTAAGTTGCTTTACCTGATTTTGATTAATTTTTATTTTCAGAATGTCAAAAAATACTCTCTTCTTCGGGAGTGAACCTAAGACTATCATAAATAAATTTCATTTGTTTCTCAGCCTGTATTTCACATACTCAGACCCAGTGAGAGCATAACTGTGACTATTAGGAGTAATGTCTAATTGTTGTGTATTAATTCTAATTTCCTTCCTCTGATCAAATTCCAGGCTGCCAGGATATCGCAGATGAGTTTAGAGCACAGGAGATTGATGGACAGGCCCTTCTCTTGCTAAAAGAAGACCATCTTATGAGTGCAATGAATATCAAGCTTGGCCCCGCCCTCAAGATCTGTGCACGCATCAACTCTCTGAAGGAATCTTAACAAGATCATGAGGCTTTGCGATAACAGCAGTTTTATTCTTCTTAAACAAACTTGTAAGGTAAAGGCTCAGGTTGGCCTAGAATATTATCACGTATTGTGGTGGATAGCCAAGAACATTGGGATCTCCACATGAAAAGCTGACATTTCTTTTACAGATATAATAATTCATCATACATTTTCATAATTAGCCAACATTGGTGAAATTAATTTTACAGGTTACATACAACATTGAAAGACTTGTTATAGAGGGCCATGATATTTTTCAAAGAAACGTATTCTAGTACTTTTTAAAAAAGTAATGTTTATCATTAATATAAAGAATCCTTTTAAAACTAATTTAATGATTTACATTTCTCTTTTGATCCAGTTTTGTTATACATTTTTCTACCCTATAATTTTCCCATAAGTTGTCATTAGAGATAATTTAAGAATAATTTAGGAGTCCAGTGACTGGAATTGTATGCAGTGAGATATCATTGTGCATTTAAAAAAAATGTCTGTTAGAAAGTTGTTTTGTCTATAAAAAAGGGTTGCATTCTAGCAAGAATAACACTGATCTGGGAGTCAGACAAGTTAGTTTCTATTCTAAACTTGACCAAGAATTTGGTGTAGCTGAGAACATTGTCCTCTTAGTTTTTGTACATGTAGACCAATGGTTCTCCTGGAGATGAGTTTTGCTGCCCTGGGGACATTTTGGTTGTCATAGCTGAGGGGGCTGAGGGAGGGATGCTCTCGGTACCTAACACATGGAGGACAGGGATTGTATATTTCCTACAATGCACAGGACAGCCCTCCACAACAGCTATGCGGTCCAAAATGTCAGTAGTACCAAGGTTGAGAAACTCTAATGTAGGAGTGATAAATGATTCTCTTTTTCACCCAGAGGGATACATTACACAATGGAAATATTTCAGGTAGCATCAGTGTTCTGCTGAAGTATTTTCCCCAGTGTATGCACACTGAGAAAAAGGGGAGCAATCCATTAAATTGGCCGATAAAATAAGGACTAGCATACAAATAATTTGACTCTCAAAAGATATTGATTCATATTAATTATCTTTTATCTCTGCTCCTCTGTGATAAAAGGCATAATCTGATTACACCTTATGAACCAATGTACATATAACCTTTACCAACAAGGCAATAGTGTGTAGCAGATATACGTATTTGGTCTTTGGCATTTTTCTAATGTTGAACATGCTGGGTCTAGCTAGAAAGCATATTCCTTTTTCCTGACTAAACCCTTGCATGCTTTCTGCAAAGCACTTACCAAGTGATATCTCTTGAATGGTGAGGTCTAATTTTGTATGTACATGTTTTAGGGGGGAAATTTTTAAGTAAAACCTTTCACCAAACAGTTAGTGATCTACTAGAATTGTGACACCAAAACAAAATTGTTTTGGGAGCCTTGAGAGCTTTATAGTCCTGGACATCAAAAATTTGTTTATTTTTTTTAAAATCTTATCTCTATCGTACAATGAAAATGTTTTAATAATTGAAGGAACATACATAGATATTTGGCAAAAGTGGAAAGAGTCTATGGGTTTCAGTCATTATCACTGCTCTTTTCAAAAAGATTGTGTTGACCTAGTAGAAGACTAAAGATGTCATTAAAGACATCACAGATATTTATCTTTTGGCTTTGTGTACATTAGAGAATGTTGATTATTTTTATACAAAATACAGCGGGTAATTTTTTTAATCTGTAGATGCCTCTTGTTTGAATGTATGCTTTGTGGGATTCTTTAGTGTAGTAATGTTTTAAAAAATGATGTTTACTGATAGTTGCGTGTAGGATTAGAATGTGTAATATAGTGTAAGGCTCATGTTCCAGACCTACATAGCTTGTAGTCCATGTTACATATTTCTTTATATCACATTTTTTATTATTGGATTAAAGTTTCAAGGAAAGGTAGGTACTCTCTAGTCAACTTTCATTTATTAGCATTTAATCATTGTGACAGAGTTGTCATATGCTTGACTTTTCCCCTCGTGTTGCAATTTCAGAATTCAAATACAAGCTAAGCACTAGTGGAAGATGTTTCACTGTATTGGGGGGTGGGGGCACAAAGAAAAATCTCCCCTGGAATTAAAACTTTAGCATAGAGAATCCACACACAATTAATATAAAATTATGTGAGGATAAATTCCCCTTGCAATAATGATTGCTTCCCATAACTATATATAACCTTTAAGGGGTTAGCTTTGAACTGTGTTAATAGGTTCACCTTTTATTTACACCCTCTTCTAATAGCAGTCATTATGTAGTACTTACTAAAAGCCCCTGTGCCTGGCACTATGTTATGAAAGCTTACAAGAAGGATATCCATTTGAGAGTACCTTATAATCTTAAGTCTTATAATAATAATAATCTTAAGAATAGTATCAAAACATACCAGAAAATATACTTGTTTTTTTTTTTCAAGTGAGTAGTTTTATTTAGAAATGGCTCATTTGCTTTCAACTAGTCACTCTCACCTTTGAAGCAGTTATTTCTTTCAAGATGATTAAATCATGTTAATATCAGTTACATATAATGGATATAGACGATGACACTGGGTGTGCACCTCTCTCCTGAGCTTTAAGCACAGTTTTAGTATGATATAGGTGGGAAGAGGGCTATTATTTTTATTTATATAATTGTTTTAGGATTTTGATTGAGGGAATGACAAGCAGAAAGAGAAGTTCTTCCTATTTTTGCTACTTAAGTTTGTATTTTCTGACTTGTTTAAACTTACACACTCTTTTTCCATTGAGGGGGGGAAAAACCTACAAGTTTGAAATTTTATTTGCTTTAAGCCATGTGTTCCTAAGAAAGTAAACAAGCTAAGAGAGCTGGCTTATAAAAATTATTTTTTACATGATGTGGATTTTCATCAAGTCTTGTGCAGGGATGTGTCTGACACAGCTATGCACTTTGATGAAATCAGTATAATATGAGACAGACTGTCACTTTTTAGGTGGCATTTAACTGTTTCCAGGATGGTACTTTTAATTTGCTATGTCATCATCTAAACACTTTTAAGGGCTGACCTAGAAGTAGAGAAGGTGGAATGGGAGGGAAAAAATGTTAGTGAAGAAACTTGAGAATGCGAGAGAGGCAAGAGGCCTGCCACTTGTTAGTTTATCTCACTTCAACACTGAACAAATTTCTGCACTTTTGAAGCTAATATTTATGTTTTACATAGAAATTATTTTAAGTAGCCCTCTTAGAACTGTATGTAATATGTATTGTTATGCCCATGCCTTTGAATAATTTTTTACAGTTAATCTTCATCTAGCCAGTGTGAAATTAGTCAGACATTTATTCAGATACCAGTATTAGATTGAAATCTGTCATAGTGCCCCATATCACTGACGTGTCCAATTAAATGTTTTAAGCCCTATTATTTGTATTTGCAGGGTGTTGGTACACTATGGCACAAGTCTTGTAAGGAGGCAATATATAGATTGTATATATAGTCTTAGGTTGTCAGAAACTCAAAGATTAGTTGTTTTAATGATCAGAATTGAGTATTCACTTTCAGATGCCACAGCTGAATCAAAGAAAAGCATTTTTAAGGTTGTATCTTATTTGCTAGGTTGTCTCAGTTTAAGAATTAGATGACTAAGAGCTGTTTCTCTTTATCAGTGTGATTTTAATTAACACAAGCCTACCTCTATTTTTTGATGCACAGTAGTGTGGATCATGAAGTAAATAGTTTCACATTATTCACTATCGGTATTTTATGAATCTATTTAGAACATTTGATTTCATTTTAAAGATTATGATTCAATTTAGATAAGCACAAATACAGTATTAGGGAAAGTAAATATGCAGTTTTAGCAAAATTTAATTTCAACCTATTAAGAGCTGCATATCTTTAAAAGAATTCTTTGGAAAGATATTCCTCTTTTGTTTTAAGTTCAGAAAATGTATCTCTATATGATTTCCTTTATAGCAGCAATACAAGCCATTACATCAGTAAAGAGTTAAAAATTATATTATCTTTGGAAAAAGTTTCCTAAATTTTTAAGCATTCTAAAGTTTTACATATAATTTTTTAGAGCTTATTTAATCTAGCTTAAAATAATACTATGAGAAAGCTTTTTATTTGAAAGTTGTAAAGTACTAATATGATGGTAATTATTGCCATCATATTACAGAGCAAAACATTTGGCTTTCTCTGAACTGTCACTTTAGTACACACATATTAAAAGGAAGTGGCCTCCCTCCTTTTCAGATCTGAAGCCCACCTTCTCTAATGAAAATTGTCCCATTCTACTCTTAACACGTGAACCTTTTAAATGCGATGTTTACGGAAACTTTTGGGAAATGTTTCCCATGAATGTTTCATGTTTTCCCTTTTTATAGCTTATGAACATTTTATTTAAAGATGACTGTTTTAATCTCAGATATTAGGAGGTACACTAGAAAAGTATTTTTTTCTACTGTCTTTGAAAAGTACAACTGCTCTCAGTGATACTGGTGGCATAAATATGAATCCATAGAGAGAAAACCTGTGCAAAGGTTTTTAAATGTATTGTCTAAAAGGAAGTATAGAATGATTCTTAATTTGGAAAAAATAAATATGAATTTAAAACACTGTTATGTTAACATGGCATGGTTTTAAATTTAACTCCAGTAATCTTCTTAAGGATTGATAGTAGCCATCATTATTGGCTTAAAAAGTATACAGTGTTAAATCCATGTTTTTTGGAGCTTTCATTGATAGAGGTGAAAAAGTTCGTGCTTGTGAGGGTGGTGGAGCTGGTGGTGAAGTAAATACCAACCTACTTTAGAAAGAAGGAACTTTTCAGTCGTGCCTCAAGCAAACCAGAAGTATCCATTGCTTACAATCTTTGTTTAGAATGGTTGAAAAGTCATAATTCTTTTTGTTTTAGGTAGTACTAAGTACTCTAATAGTTAATAGATCTACATAATCATTAAATTACTATGATGAATGACTGGGGTTTCACATCCAGTTGAAACAGCTGTGTGCGGTGACCCCCTCGGCAGTTACTTACCTTTAAACCTGTTTCCTCTTCTATGTATACCGTGTGGAGCCTATACTAAACATGTTGATTTTGATTTAAATCATCTCTTAGGTTCCTCCCAGCTCTAAAACTATGATTCTGGACCACGTAATGGGGTGTTTTTAAGTTGCTTCTACTTAATTCTCTTTCCCTTTTCAACAGTTCCTTTCATACTTCAGAGCAATTGCTAAAA